TTGGTAAGTTCTGACTGGAAAAAAATTGATTTTCTCGCGTGATTTTTTTTTAGCGCAAAGCAGTTTTTGATCGATTCGGAACTGATTGAACCGATCTGAAACTGGGAAAAGTGACATCGGTACTTTTGACATCGTAAAGTCAAAATAAAAAGAGCTTCAATTTGGAAAATTATGTATAGTTTGACTCGCTATTATCGCGGCATCCCTATTATTGCAGCATGGGAAATTTCTCTTTTTGCACTGCCAAAACTCCTTGAAGTGGCGATTTTTAGTCAGCTCTCTAGTCATAAGGATTTTTGCCGAGTTGTACAAAAAGGACGATTAAGAAATGTTGTGTCTTTCGGGACTGTTAACGATTTTAAATTTAAATTAACGTTTTCCAAAACTTGCAATTTTTCCCTCACCGTGTTTGCTAAAAGGTACCGCCTGTATTGTAACATGAATTTTTAATGGTGCCCTGTCCATGAAAGTTCCATTGTATGGTTTCCATTCTTCAGCTGCAAATGTAAAATGAAGTCAAAAGACGATATTTGCACCGCGAAATCGTAAAAAGTTTTACGGGATCAAAATTAGCACAAACTGCACACCGTGTAAAGTGAATGGCGCCCCCAATCGCCAATCAGTAGCCTTGCATCAGTGATTTCGTGTTCTTTCAGGGGAAGGGCAGGGTCTTTAAAAATCATCCTGTACACATTTCGTCTTTAATCAACTTGAACGTTACAGGAAAAATATTAAACTTTATTAAGGGGATGTTTTGGTCAAACAGGTTAAGATCATTATAAAAAAAAAAAGGTTGAGATCATTATAAAAAACACTTCCCGCATACCGCGATAATATGGAGACCATCTCCGTTCGCACACTCCGAGCATGTCTATTTTCACAGGCATCGTACACGGAAAAATAAACCACACCACCGTCAGATTTTTTTTATATCAATTTGAAAAGGAAGAATTATACTGCACAAAAGACAGGACAATTCGGGAAGGTTAGTGGGCAATCTCTATTGCGAATGAGAAACGTGAAACAGTCGTTTTCCTAGTTCCGTATTTTTCCCTAGTTCCGGATAGCTTCAAATAAAAACCCAACTCTTTTTGGATTTAATAGTCTCCAATAAAAAAATCTGACGATGTGCATTTTGAAAAGGAAAATATAAGCTCCTTGATGCACAAAGATTGTTTCCGATAAAATCTTTAGAAGAGGAATTTCGGCCAGATTTGCGACTCGCACTTCGACATGTTTCGACGGTTTGTAGAAAATCGCGGGAGCTGCGAATCGACGAAAATTTTTCTCCTCGGTAGGCCTATCACTTGTACCGTGTGATTTCGAATATTTTGTTCATGCACTACAGTCGTATAAACTCTTCCATTGAATGCTTGTTGAATCAAAATAAGTTGTAAAGTCTCTAATTTTTGAAAATTCGCCAACGAATGACCGTATTCTTAAATTGCCTAGTTCCGGATAGCGCGTGCACTTACGACCCAACTACACGCGCGTTTATAATCGCTTTTGTGTGACGTATTCTGTGCTGGGTAAAAAATGTTCGGTCTGTGCGCGTGAGTTCGAGCCGTACGTTGCGCTGCGGACAAAAGTTTCAAAATCATTTACGTTTTTCTCTTTTAAAAATTTGCTGGAATTCTCTTGAATGAACTATTTTTGGAAAATGAAATAATACTTTATCAGAAAATATGTTTGATTCGGTTGGTTCTGGCTGAAAAAAAAGTTTTTCTCGCGTGATTTTTTTTTTCGCGTGAAGCAGTTTCGATCGATTCGGAACTGAACCGATCCGGAACTAGGAAGAGTGACATCGGTACTTTTGACGTCATAAAATCAAAATAAAAAGAGCTCAAATTTTGGAAATTATTTCGTGGTCTCACCATCACTCAAGGTAAACTTTTTAATCAATGTCACTTGAATTCGTGGAGTAGTTGAGCTGAAAGCAGCCTGAACATGCTGAATAATGTTTGCTATCCGGAACTAGGAAAACATGGAAAACGACTGTAATACAGCGCAACCCATCCTAGAAGTTACTATGATATGAGTATGAATGATCTGAAACTTACCTTTAAATATCCTTTCGACTTTCTCTGCTTGTTCCGGGTCGTCAAATGGCCCTCGGATTTCGTCTTCAGCAGCAAGTATAGGCCCCGGAAAAGGTGGCCATTGTCATCAGGCTTTTACCTTAGGCTGGCCGGCTGTATGTCAAAACAACAACGCGATACTCCGGCCGGCGCGGCGTACCGTACGGCAACGTACGTGAACAATAATGGCGGCCGTTGAAACTTTTTTCAGTGTACATTCAGTGTATACATTACGCGCGCGCGGTATGCATGCAAATGGCCCGATCCCGTAAGCACCGCCCCATGGTATTCTGACCAATCACAGCCGTGATTTATGTCCGACATGCGTGCATAAAAGTCCGACATGCGTGCACGCGCGTATGATGCGCGCGGCAGGAAAATGCAGTGTGGCATTGGAGAGGAGCACGTGTTAATTTGCCCACGTGCGCAGAGGGAGGGGCTTACTGGATCGGTCCATTACGTTTGGACACACACATGGCTGGCCCAATCTAAAAACCATCAGGTCAGTGATTGGCTGTTTTCGGTAAAAAGTCGCTCCGAAAGTCGACTGGTACTGTGGTAGTTATATAGTGAGAATATATAACACCTTGAAAAAGAGTGAAATTTGTGTTTGCGTCAAATTTGTCAGGCCACGGGCCGGAGAGTGACGCGAAGAATGACTGGACGGTTCAGTCGCCCAAGGATCACTAAGAAAAGAGGGGTGGCTCATTGGATAAAGAGTGATTACCCTTAGATGAATATGTAGCATTTCTTCACTTGAATCAGAGCGCGAATTCCACTACAAAAAGAGTTATGCGTTAACACTCGGGCGAGAGAGTGAAATGATCACCACGAGAATTTTCGTCAACACGGAGCAAAACCTGCCTAAAATAGTTTCCAAACAATAACTCAAGAAATACATGTTGTGTTGAACTGATCTCTAGTGGTTTGTCGTAATATAATATATAACACAAGTCTGCTAAATATCCAGAGAAATCGTCCAACAGTAAAAATAATATAACCAAAACAATGTAGTGTGTTAAGCTCAAAAATACAACCCAAATTACAGTCAACTTTCATGGAAAAAAAAAACACACGTACGCTCGTTTTCCGGACGATAACTCAAGAAATACTTTTTGTATTTAATTGATTGATTGTTCGTAATATATAACACAAATCTGTTGAATATCCTTAGAAATCGACAAACAAAAACAATAATATTACCAAAACATTGAAGTGTATTAAGCTTAAAGTGTATAATCCGAATTAAAGTCAACTTTCATGGAACAAAAACAATTACTTCTTTTTTTCCCGGACGATAACTCAAGAAATACCTGTTTTATTGAATTGAAACTTCGTCTATTGATTGGTCGTAATATATAACACAAATCTATTGAATATCGACAGAAATAGTCAGACTAAAAAAAATAATATAACCAAAACAATGTAGCGTGTTAAGTGCGAAACGTACAAGCGGTGAAGCCGAACGGTCATGTCATCTATTTTCATTCAAAAGAGGGCGCGCTACACAAAAAGTGGTCATAGTGAAGAATTTTCATCAGTTTCATGGAGAAACCTGCCTAACTAATTAATGAACAAAAACAACACACTCGTTTTCCGGACAATAACTCAAGAAATTCATGTTGTGTTGAACTGAAATGTCTTCTGGTCGTGATATATATTACAAGTCTGCTAAATATCAAGAGAAATCGTCAAATATTTAAAATAGTATAACCAAAACAATGCAGTGTGTTTAATAAGCTAAAAATACAATCCGAATTACAGTCAACTTTCAAGGAAAAAACAACACACTCGTTTTCTAGATGATAACTCAAAAAATACCTGCAATATTGAATGACAATTTCGTCTATTGATTGGTGGTAATATATAACAAAAGTCTGTTGAATATTGAGAAAAAACGTCAAACACAAAAAATATATATTACCAAAACAATGCAGCGAAAAAGACAAACCGAATTGAAGCTTTTTCTTTCAGTATTAGCTCCGCCCCTGTCTTCATGGTCTTTTTCGTGCGCAATGTGTTATGTGCCCATTTTGTAGTACTTCTTGAACCAAGTCTAGTCTGAGTGGCTTGTGTGGAGAGACGTCTAGTAACACGACCAGAATCGCTTTGGGATGTGTACGCGGTTTTGAACAGTCTTCCCACGTCAAAGTAGTCTGGTTCCCAGACCAAAAGATTCTGACTATTCCTGATGAATCTTAGGTCCGGTCAACCTCGTCCTCAGGGTGTCGGGCAGTACGCGCCCACCACTACCTGCTCTTTATTGGAAACAACGTTGGAAATAAAGTAAGCACTGGGAACGAGGTTGAGGTCCGGTAGCCTCCGGTAATACATTGTATTACAATTTACGTCACGTGACTAAAACGGGAGGAATTCCTACTTTTTCCAAAAATTTCCGAAGTTTGCCGAAGTCGTTTCGTCGACAATCGGATAGCGCCCGAGTATTTTCGATATTTGATATAGGTTTAATTAACTGCTAAATGCTTATTAATGTTATTTTAAATGAGTTGATAATTAATATTCATTGCTTTCATTTAGAAAACTTGAAATTCAACGACGATTGAATGCATCAAATATACTCGGATCGTATGGGCAAACTTTTTGCTGCGTCAAGTACAATTTTGACGACCGTTACCGAGATTTTCTAAAACTCGGTCTTCATTCGGCTCCGCCTGCTTGAGTGTCTAATTTTGAAGATTCCAGATCAACATTAGTCAATGTTATCTTACAGAAACATCAAACTGTATTACCATAACTGAATGATATTACGAAGCAAGTGATTTATTTAAAAATGTGATCAGAACATTAAAAGCTACAAGCGATCAAGCGAATACGGAAACGAAGCCGAGCTTTGAAAAAGGGCCATCAATGTCGTCATGTTTATTTTTAGCCAGCCTGACCAGGAATAGTCAGAATCTTTTGGTCTGGGAACCAGACTAACGTCAAAGTCCACATGAACGACAGCCATCCGCACATAACGGTATATCGCACATAACGTTACCACCACTCCAGTTTGCAGTTTAAGTTCCGATTTCTGCCGATTAATTTAAACGGTGAGATTATTCGATCTAATTTGAAGCTGTAGGCATGAATTTTGGACCTTTGAAGGCTCAAAGTTGTCGAAAAATGCAATTTAATGCACTTTAAAACTGTGGTTCAAGTCAACTTGAGTTTACATGGTTTATGGAAATGAGTTAAGTATTCGGTAGTCTAGTTGGTTCCTCGAGACCGGAAGTGTGTATTGAAAGTATATGTTGCGCTGCATTGTGGGACAATTTGTGCAAAGAAATAGCAAAATACCAATCCTCACATGCAGTGCAGCTATTTATTTTACTGGGAAAGATTATCATATCTGGCCATCACTTATTTTTTCCTAAATTAAATTAGCTACGCTTGAGTAACTCCACTCCAGCTGACATGCTCATATTCATTCACATATGAGTGAATATATGAGCATGTCAGCTGGAGTTACTCAAGCTAAAGTTCAATGAACTATCAGTCATGTCAATCATGTCAATCAGCCCACTCCATGATCAGCCATCAGAAAGTGATAATTATAAGTCAAAATTAGCAGTGACAAATTTTGAACATTTACTGAGAAAACACAGACCAGTCCCATAGGGTTATTCCTTTTACTGTTAAAGGTAAAATGAAAACCACGACAATTAATACTTGTCACACTCGGCAAAGTAAAAAACAGTTTCCAATTTTTTTGTTTTTGCCAAACACTGACAAATGCATTCCCTTTATTGTTCATCCTATGAGTGACTTGTGACTTGACTCGTGATTTACTTATGACAAGACATGTCAAAAACGACAAAAAAAAGTGAACAAGTGTTTTTATTCCTCTGAGCTCCATGATCAAACAGAAGCTTGTTGTGTTTTAGTACTTTGCCAGAGTGGAACCTTTGTTCAGGATGCAGCGGAACGATTTCTACCAACTAAGCGGCCAGCAACAGCAGGGATATGCACCTGGCATGCCTGGAGCCGTTGGTGTCGATACACTGGATAGTCAGGAAAAGAAGGTATCAAACAGCCACGTTGTCAATTTTCACTCTCTGAGTCTCTCCGTCAATTATTTAGCCATGAATGATTTGGTTGAAGGGATGTATTGTAATCAGAGGACCCCAAAACTCTCGGCTCAGTATCTGAAACAGATGGGCTATGGCTCATGGCTACATCTACCAGCTTATATCGGAAAATTTGCCAAGTGAAAGGGATATTGAATAACTACACTATCCAGAGTTGTACGCAAGTCACCACAAGTCATCACAAGTCATTACAAGTTATCACAATTCATCACAAGTCATCACAAGTCAACACAAGTCAACACAAGTCAACACAAGTCAACACAAGTTATAACTAGTCATCATCAGTCATCACTAGTCATTAGAAGTCATCACTAGTCATCACAGGTTATCTCAAGCCATCACAAGCCATCACAAGTCACCACAAGTCACCACAAGCCATCACAAGCCATCACAATCATTAAAAGTCATCACAAGTCATCACAAGCCATCACAATCATTAAAAGTCATCACAACACATTACAAGTCATTACAAGTCATTACAACGCATCGCAAATCATCACAAGCCATCACAAGTCATCACAAGCCATCACAAGTCATCACAAGCAATCACAAGCCATCACAAGCCATCACAAGTCATAAAAGTCATCACAAGTCATCACAAGTCATCACAAGTCATCACAAATCATCACAAATCATTAAAAGTCATCACAAGGCTTAACAAGTCATCACAAGTCATCACAAGTCATCACAAGACATCACAAGACATTGCCAGTCATCACAAATCAGTGAGTTTAAGCTCATTTCGTTCAGACAATTTGCAAATATGAAACATCTGAGTGTGCGATTTTGTTCACAGATCCAAGAGCAACAGAGAATGATACAACAACAGATGGCACCAGCCGTCACCAAAGCGCCCCCTATCCAGCCGCATCAGAAACTCAATGTCATCAGCAGCAGACAGGCCGATGCCATACGCAGCGGAAACGACTTGGGGAATACCGGATGCCCCAACCTGCTCATTGCAAAGAGCGCCCCCAAAAAGGTAGCTATCAAAGGGAATAGTTTAAATGTTTAATATTTAATCCAAGGTTTACTCTTATTGACAAACGAGTATGGTCATTGCATCATTAGCCCTAACTCCCTAGGCCTTTTTGCTAGGATGTAGCCTCAATCCTGCAAAATCCTCCAATTGGCCTCATAAAAAAATAACATGTGGCCTCAATCCTGCAAATTCCTCCATCATTTTTTGAATATGGTCCGTGGACAGGTGACCACTGCCTGAATCTTGCAAAATCCTGCGGCAGTGACTGTCAATATGTTGAGGCTTGGCCAATGACACCCTGGAGCAGTTCGGAGGATTTCAAGCGTAATCCAGGCCTATATGTATGCATGGCTGAGCAATAACAACACAAGGTCCGGCTCAAGACCTTGACAAAGTGCACCCTACGAAATCAGTAATGCACTTTTGCCATGTAACCTCGATCCTCCCAATTTCTCCACTTTGGCAAAGAGGGTTTGGAAGGATTCAGAGCGGTTAGGGTTAATTGGCTCTTAAAGTTTCAGACAGTGGTGAAGTTGAGATACTTGTGATGTACCACAAGCACATAACAAGTACGTCAAGTCGTGTCGCGAGGAATTCACAAGGTCACTTTCTTGTACTTGTACCGGCAAGACAAAAGTCCCTTTATACTAGTACTCATACTCGTACTTATGTGAATGTACTCGACTTCAGCTCGGAATCACAACGCATTCACATTCTAATCCAAATTTAAGCCACTTCTCTTGAAATCGGCCACAGGTTGACACCGAGCTGATCGAGAGTTTCATGATGGGCGACAAGAACCCGGTGATGGCGCTCAACGAGTTTTGTCAGAAGCAGCGGCTGATGGTCAAGTTTCAAGAGGACATGGCCACAAGTTGGGGGACCATGTGCAACCCGAAGTTTGCCTCTGTCGCTATAGTTGATGGTGTTCGGCATAAGCAGGGTAAGTTTAACTCATTTCTCGGCCAAATAATTCTGACCAGCTCTGAAAATGTAGGTGGGAATGTTTGTGGCAACCTCGAGTTAACAAAACTTTTTATAGATTTTGACGCACAACTGGAGTGTGTTCCCCTTACCTGAAACAACACAAACGTTGCCAATGGTGTCCTATCGGCCATGCACAAGAAGAGAGCGCACCCCATTGAAGTGATGCTGTGATGCTGTGATGTCATGATGACGTCATTACATGTCATGTGATCACATTAACAGATTTCAACCCATCAAACCCCAACAGCATGATTTGTTGGAATCTGTCAGAATGGGTACAGTACCTTAAAACTGACAGTCTTTTACATTGGGTTGGCACACCTCCAGAAACAAAGTCAGAAATGTGTGTGTGCAGTTTCCCATATGGCTTTGGAATTTGCCAGGATGGGTATGGTTCCTAGTAAATCATGATAGGTTTAAAGGTGCATTTTTAAATGCCTGTGTCTATTGGGTACCTACATGTACATTACATTAATTCTTTTATTGACCTTATTCATCAATGTTCAAATAGTCGATCATCAAATAATCACATACTACATAATTCAAAAATACACAGCACTAGAACCCAGTAACATTTGGGTTAAGAAATCCATTTCTTGGCAAATGTTCCAGGTGTCGGAAGGACAAAAAAGGAAGCCAAAACCCAGGCGGCCAAAGTAGCCCTGTCGACGCTCTTAGGCTTAACCCCGGACGACGTCCAGGATCAAGATACCGGCACGGCCATTTATGACAGCTTCGGCCGTAAAATTGTCCTCCACGAAGAACAGCCCGTTAGCCAAACCATGACGGCTCGCCCGTCCACGGAAAAGGGCTTTAGCGCTGGGGGTCACTATCAGGTCAACTACAACACCGCGCCGACGATAACGTCAGAAGATGCCTGGAACGTGGCCAAGCCGGCGAACTACGCGGAGTACCAGGTGAAGATGGCGCAGCAAGCTAAGGAACAAGCTCAAGGTGGAGTAGTCCAAATTATTTTACGTCTGACATGCATATTTATGCAAATGCAAATTATTATGCAAATAATTTTACCTCATGCATATTAATGAGCAAAATGTCCTTCCTTCATTGGTCAATGTTCTATTGTGGGTTTGGTAAGTTGCCATTGCTAATAAATTTCCTGTGTCTTGTTTTGTATACAGCTGGTAAAAAGAAAGAGCAGCCGGCCCAACCGACACCCCAGCAGCTGGCCCAACCGACACCCCAGCAGCCCTCCAACCTCAGCTTTGGCAGAGGGGTTCTAAATCCTTCCATTATCAACAGTTGCCTTCCGGGACAAACCCCTGGTTACCAGCCACGGGCCACCAGTGTCCAGCAGGCTCCGGGGAAGAGCCCGCCGCAAACGCAGGGTGGTGTACGCAGCCCAGCGCAAACTCAGCAAGCTGCGAGTCCAGCTTCAGCTGTTTCCGGGTACTGGCCGCAAGCAAATCCCATCAGCCAATCAGCTTCGGGGTCAGAGTTTACAGGAGTTGCACTGAGTGGCAGCAGTCAGCAGGATTCATATGACTTCCAGGCCGATTTAGAGTCCGACCCTTTCCCAAAGCTGTCCAGTGCCAAAATGGCATCTGCGAAACCAAGCCAAAGTGCGAGTTCGATCCAGAAGCCAGTCAGCCAGTACAAGCCGTTTGTAAACGAATCAGTCTATGATCCTCAAGCCGAAATGCGAACAAGCCCCTTTCCGCAATTTGGGGTCCAACAGAAGCAACCAACCCTTAAAGTCCTTGGCCAACCTCCAGCACAATCAATATCCTCGACGAGGGACCCTAAACCATCATCATTATCAACATCGCAGAGTACGAGTCTGTACCAGACCCAAACATCTCTGCCAAGACAGACTGTCTCTGATCCCACTTCTGCCACCAAATTGAAGCATCAACCAGGAAGTTACCAACCTACGCACAAACCTCATGCGCCGGTCTCCTACCCCACGTACCAACCCCAAGGTCCTCAACACCAGCCCCCAAACCAGCTCCACACCCCAACCCAACCCCAACCCCAGGCCCCTTCCCATCAACCCCTCCCCCAGGCCACCAACACTTCACCCCCCTTGACTGGTGGACTGACCGTGGCTGACCAGATTGCCCAGACAGCCAGATCCATCCCCCGCGTCGGATCGCCCTTTCCAGGGTGCACCAAGATTGAGGCTCGTAGGAGCCTCGCCGCAATTTTGTTACAAAGAAGTAAGATATCCAATTATTCATGCTATTTGTGTCCAACTTATTAGTCCAGTTTTACTTATCGCTTGTTTGCATGAAATTACTGAAGTCCTATTCCCTCTGGATGGGATGCCAGTTCATCACAGGTTGCTGCTAATGTACCTATTTACAGTCCTGAGCGGAGAGAGGTAAGTTGGAGTAAAGTGGCTTTCCCATGGACACAACTTATTTCTGCCAGCCGGATTTTAAACCCTTTACCCTCCAGTCACAAGTCAAAATTCCTACCTAGGGATATGCCTCCCCTTCATTAGTAATGTTCACAATGCTGCCAACCTAGACAACAACAGAGAATAAATATTTTTTTATTTCAAGTCTTCAGCCTAAAGACTCTCACAATTGAATCCAGTGTCGTTTATAATTGTTTGCCCAGACCCACAAGCGAAGCATGAAATTGTCGGTCTTGGTACAGGCAACGGTGCCATCACTGGACGTAATATTACCCCCGACGGGCGTGCTATCCTGGATCTGGACGGACTGACCATCGCCCGACGGGGTCTGCAAAGGTATTAAGCAGTAGAGAAAAATGGCAATATTTTGATCACATGTACCTGCATAAACTTTTGTGCATAAAGTTTTGCTTGTCAATTGGCCATCATGAACTAAACCAACAACAAAAAATCCCAAAAGAATTGACTGCAAAAAACCCAAAAAACTTCTGGAAACTCTTTGTGTTCAACAAGCGGTTTTCAGGCTGTAGCTTCCAACCAAGATGACCTGACAGTTTTTCTCATGAATATGGAAATCAGCATTAACATAGAAACCCAAAAGGCCCTGAAAGAACACACTTAAAAAGTGCCAACTGAAATATAGGAATAGGAACCTAAAAGTAAAACTCCAAATTACAGTTGTTGGAAAAAAAAATTATGGTAATTAACTTTGTTGCAGATACCTGTATCGCGAATTGAAAAACTTCTACGAAGGCAATCAGCAGGCAACAGTGTTCACCATCCAACGATCGAGTCGTTTATTGACGCTCAAGGAAGGAGTCACGTTTCACCTGTACCTGAATGCCGCGCCGTGCGGTGACGCGGCGCGCTTTGTGCGCGATTGCCCGCCAACCATCACGGAGGAAGACCTGTATCTGATGGCCTGCGGGGCCCACTACCCGATGCAACAGCCCGATACGGCCCAGGGAAAACTCACGGCAGTCGGTCAAGACGGTATGTCACACATACTTGTATGGTAATGGCGTAGTTGTATGGTAATGGTGTAGTTTAGGACGCCTACATTTACCATTATGGTAATGGTGTAGTTTAGGACGCCTACATTTACCAATATGGAAATGGTGTAGTTTAGGACACCTTCATTTACCAATATGGTAATGGTGTAGTTTAGGACACCTTCATTTACCAATATGGTAATGGTGTAGTTTAGGACACCTCCATTTACCAATATGGTAATGGTGTAGTTTAGGACACCTCCATTTACCAATATGGTAATGGTGTAGTTTAGGACACCTACATTTACCAATATGGTAATGGTGTAGTTTAGGACACCTCCATTTACCAATATGGTAATGGTGTAGTTTAGGACACCTTCATTTACCAATATGGTTATGGTGTAGTTTAGGACACCTCCATTTACCAATATGGTAATGGTGTAGTTTAGGACACCTCCATTTACCAATATGGTAATGGTGTAGTTTAGGACACCTACATTTACCAATATGGTAATGGTGTAGTTTAGGACACCTCCATTTACCAATATGGTAATGGTGTAGTTTAGGACACCTACATTTACCATTATGGTAATGGTGTAGTTTAGGACACCTACATTTACCAATATGGTAATGGTGTAGTTTAGGACACCTCCATTTACCAATATGGTAATGGTGTAGTTTAGGACACCTACATTTACCATTATGGTAATGGTGTAGTTTAGGACACCTACATTTACCAATATGGTAATGGTGTAGTTTAGGACACCTCCATTTACCAATATGGTAATGGTGTAGTTTAGGGACACCCAAACTGAAATGTGTGTCAGCTGGTACTATTGCCATCTTCATTTTGATATGGTTGTTGGTCATTTTGTGTTTTTCAGGCACTCCAGTTGCAGTGGATGAGTTACCCCATGTGGGATCAATCGACATGGCAAAGAAACAGGTTAGAAAATATAATGAATGAAAAGAAATATACTGAATGACCTTAATTTTCCTAAACCCTTATGCCCAAGGCAATTTGTTTTTCAGGGAATGTGCCCGAATCCTACAAATTCCTTCAAAATCTTGTTTTGAAAAAAAAAAAAAGCAAACAAAGAAAAAAGCAAATTCCTATGTACCTATGTACCTTGTAGAACCCACTGCGTGTGATGTCGAGCAGTGACAAGTTGCTACTGTGGAACATCGTTGGCCTCCAGGGGGCGCTGCTCAGCCAATTCATGGAGCCAGTGTATCTGGAAACGATCACCTTAGGTAATACATTTAAACATAAAAAAAAACAGGAGTGTGGTATTGGTTTGTTTTTTAGACAAATGTTTAAACTGAATTGTTAAATTTACATCAGCTATTCAGATAGCGGAGAGCGACTTTAAAGTAAATGAATAAATACATTCTGACTGCAGGTAGTAACTATGATCACGGTCATCTAGCGCGGGCTGTGTGTTGTCGAGTGGACGATGACCTCACCGAGTTGCTGCCCCTGGGTTATAGCGTCCACCATCCCCTGATCGGCCGCGTCTCCAACAAGCCCCACGTTGAGGATGACTTCAAGACGGGCACCAGTCTCAACTGGTCGTTTGCCGACAGCCTGTACGAAGTGGTCGACGTCAAAAGAGGAAAATGTACAGAGAGGTGAGGTGTAGTGTTGTAGACAAGGTGCTTAGATGCATCACAAGCCAATCACAAGTCCGTGACAAGCCAATCACAAGCCAATCAAATGTCCATTACAAGCCAATCACAAGCCCATTACAAGTCCATCACAAGTCCATCGCAAGTTCATCACAAGCCAATTATAAGTCAATCACAAGTCCATCACAGTCTATTACAAGTCCATCATAAGTCCATCACAAGTCCGTCACCAGTCCATCACAGGTCCATCATAAGCTAATCTTAGTCCATTATAAACTAATCACAAGTCCATCACAAGTTAATCTCAAGCCAGTCTCAAGTCCATCACAAACCAATCACAAGCCAATCACAAGCTAATCACAAGCCAATCACAAGCCAGTCGCAAGTCCATCACAAGCTAATCACAAGCTAATCACAAGCTAATCACAGGTCCATCACAAGCATTTATGAGATTGCCACTGGTTCACCGTGGCACACTATTTAGGCCGCCATGTTTGTTTGCGTTACTGCCTCGCTCTGATAAAATGGCGTACCCTGAGAGATTTCTCATTTTAATTTTACATTAAATTTAATGTTTTTGATTTTATTTTTGTCAGTTCCCCATTCAAAAGCGGCGCGTCAGGGGCAAGCAGGGTGTGCAAAGCCGCGTTCTACAGTCGCTTCAAGAATGCGTGTGGCATGGCGCAACGCTACGATCTGCAACAAGGGGCCAGCTATCATGAAGCCAAAGTAAGAACGTTGTCTCAAGTCAAGATCGAATCATGAGTTCAACCGACTTGATCCAATAGAGGGGTTTCGCACGTGAACAGACACGCATTTGAATGTGTTTAGCTATTTGAAACCATTATTGGCCATTCCTTCTATTTTTAATTTTCAAAAAGTACACATTAATTTCAGAGGCTTTTGATTGGGGGTAGAAGTGAAAAGGGCACTCACTAGATCATCCTTGCTGAAAGGTAGATCTTGTTTTCGCCAGTCACTAGGCCTCGGTAAAATAAAAGAAGTGGGGGGGGGGGGTGGCTGGACACCATCTGTGTATGGGGGCGCTGTTCAAAGCGGACGATCATGGGAACTGTCCAACAATAGGTGACCCTCTTCATGGTGGCATAATTGCTGATGATCGTGCAACGTTATTAAAAAAAAAAAAGGGCACTCGTCAAAAAATTTATTTTATCAATATTTCTGACCCTTTGCTTTTTGGGGGCATAAGGAAAGATTTGAGATTTGTTCTTAGCATTGAGTGTTGTTTCCTCAATTTGAGTTTTAGAATTTTAACCAAATCTTTGTTTGGTCGCAGATGATGTGCAAGGACTACCAGAATGCCAAGAAGCACTTGGCTCAGCATCTGAAACAGAAGGGCTACGGCTCATGGCTACATCTGCCGGCTGATATCGGAAACTTTGCCAAGTGAAAGGGCTTATTGCATGACATGGTGAACTACAAGCAAGTTCTGCAAGCTCCAGTTTTGTAATTAGTGATCACAACTCATCATAAGTTATCACAAAACATCTATCATAAGTCCTCATCAACTCAATCACATCATTTCAAGAACAAGTCAATCACAAGTCATCACAAGGCAATCACAAGTCTTTCATAAGTCATCTAGTGTTCTGTAACAAGTCATTCGAGTAGCATGTTACCTGATGATGTAGTTTGACTTGTGATCGACTTGAGATTGACTTGTGATTGACTTGATACTCATATACTCTAGCAGTTATATTTTTATGATAGGAGTAGAGAATATATCAGATTTTTTTTCACGTTTTGTTCCTGGTTTTAGTGTTCATGACCCATTCCAAATGGTAATTATTTTTTTCCCCTGCTTTTTTGTCTTTTGTGCTATTTTATCTGTTTCTTCTTTTTTTTCTCGCCAAAATTGTCAAGTTTAGTCAACTAAACCACCAAAGATGTGGATGGCATTTTAACTGTTTTTCAACCATTTTAAATTTGCAAAATATAGCTGCAATGCGCGTAGTCTGGTTCCCAGACCAAATGATGCTGACTATTTCTGATCAATTACTGACAAGGAGATAACGTTTTCAATTTTGTACACAACATATAGGAGTACACATGTATTTTGAATCGCTAGCAAATTCCATGCGAGCGCTCTGATTGGTTCAGATTCTAGAGTGTATTCTAGCCGGAAGATCATTCTCACTACTTCAAGGGTTTGTGATTTGTGTTGTATAACATTACAAAATTATAGGGCATACACGACTGAAATAAATCAAGTATATCACAATGATACATTTTAATTTCTATACACAATCGACCAAGCTGAGTGTATTGGTCGTTAAAACGTCACCAGATCTGCAAACATGTCCCTGACGTACTGAGAACTCCCCATGTAACGGAATGAATGAGTCCTCATTTGCATAGTGGTGCGCGATTGGATCTCACCGCAAAAATGTACTGCATATGTATTGCGCTGCTTGCATTATATGAATAACGGTGCGAGAATGTAATCGTCAAGTCAAGGCCGATTATACATACTAGTCTTATACCAGCCGCGTCAATGGAGTTCGACTGAAGTTCACAGACAAAATACGACTATCTAACGACTTGTCATCAAGTCTAGGACAGAAGCAGAATGAGCCCAACCTCGTACCCAGGGTGTCGAACAGTACGCGCCCACCACTACCTGCTCTCTCACCCTGGTATTGGATCATTTGCATTTGCAAGATTTTTGAACACGTATGCAAATTAGGAGTAGTCTGGTGCCTGCCTGTGCGTTACATTTGCGTTTGTTTTTGTATGCGGTGTCTGGGGTAAAAACAGAAGCAGTTTGTCGCAGTGCGAGCATTACGTGAGTTACAAAAACACGATTTCATTTTAATTAAACTGTTACGATCTTAACGAGACAACATGCAGTATCACATTTCATATTAATATTAACAAACTGGAAAGGAAATGAATATTTTCGAGAAGGCGTGGACGAATGATCGCGAAAACACGTACTGCACTTTGTGAAAAACAACACCAAGTACACGATATAAACCCATTTCTAGCCAATTGCAATATCGCATTAGGATACAGGGAGAAAGTTTCCTATCCAAGACTTACTATTGGAAACGATGTTGGAAATAGAGTAAGCACTGGGGACGAGGTTGGAATGAGCCAGTTCAGTATGAAGTAGTCCAGGTCAAAGGTCATGCGGGATAAAATCTCTGACGTGGTGTTACGCGATGTTATGCAAACAGACGCCCAGTTATTAACACGCGAGCGTCGTGCGCCTGTCTCCCTGCGCGTTCGTGCGCCATTGATGAGCGTTCAATTTTCCCGAATGACTTGTGACCAATATCATTGTGCATTTGCATTTGCAGTTGAAATACCGAACTGGCTTATTGCCAAAAGTCGTCATAAGTCATCATATGTAGATCATAAGTCATCACAAGTCCCAAGTCACAAGATATTTGAATGATTCGTGACTTGACTTGTGATAGTAACTTGTGAATTGACCTGTGTACAATTCTTGCACCGTCATGCCTTAATCTTGTCAGTAATATGTTCGTAGGTATGAAAATCTTTGTAAGATTTATTATATGTCCATTTTTCATCTACAATTATGTATCACAAGACATTAAAAAGTAATGATTTGCTTTAAATTTCATAACAGGATGAAGTAATAATGTCTGGTAACTGTGATTATCAGCATAAAACCGCGTGTCGTATTTATTTCACCATTTTTGGTGATTTTTATGCCATGCTTACTATAATTTTACTTTTATGTATAATTTTTAAAATAAAGTTTAATTGTTTTGATCATTGAAGCTTCGAATGTTTTGTTTTTGTTTTGTTTTGTTTTGTTTTGTTTTGTTTTGTTTAAATTTCTCTGTAAACACCAAAAAACAAAATTACCAAATTTTTATGAAATACCTTATTGAGTCTTAAGCATCCTGTGCGGAAATCATGGCTCCTGGTGTACTGTCATTTTCATGAAAAGTGGATTTTTTCATGGTCGGCTGCATGACCATCGATGGGATTTTTTTTTCTTTTTTCAAATACTCGGCCCTTCCAAGGCAAAACAATGTAACTCGAAAATGATCATTTTGAGAAAAAAGACTTTGAAGTACCATCTTTTGCCATTTTTATGCTGTAAATACCGTTGTGTTTCTTTTTTCACAGATTTGTGCCAGTTATAGTTTCTTTAAATTCTGAAATTTTTAGACTGTTAAAAGCTCGGTTTCTTATACTTATTATCATTTTTATAAAGTTGCACTCTTATGCCGTGCGTTATTTGTCATATGTGGTTTACACATTCCAAGGCAAAACAATGCATCTTGTTTTGACAAGAACACTTTTTCAGAAATTCTACGGCAAAACAATGTATCTTTGGTTGAGAGGCAGCAAAACTGTCAACTGTGTGATACATTCCACAGCAAAACAATGTATCTTTGGTTGAGAGGCAGCAAAACTGTCAACTCTATGATACATTCCACGGTAAAACAATGCATCTTTATTTTGAAGGGCAGCCGAAATTGTAAAGCGCCCTATGTTGTCAAAATATTACATGGGAAAAGTATTTTGTCCCGACCATCACGAATTTTTGACACGAATTCATTTTCACATCAGCATTTATTTCAGTACAACAATGCAAAACAAGATGAATGCTGAAATCGACAGAAGGGTTTTCGTGGCAAAAAAAGGCAGTTTGAGTTGGCTTGGTTTGAATACATTCATCGTCTAAGGCAAAACAAAGCATCTATAAGATACATTGTTATGCCGTAGTAGAGTGCTTTAAATTTTCATAGAAAATGAAACTAAAACAACGCATATTTAGTTACATTCTTTTGCTCTGATTGATGTTAATTTAGAGAAGTCACTGAAATTAGCAAGAGCAATGCAAATACAACTTAACCTTTTTTACCAAATAAAAAAACTGCATTTTTGGAAAAACAACTTCAAGCAAAAAGGGAGCAACATGTAGATACACTGTTTTGCTGTTGAACAAAGCAATACTTCTGGTAAGATACATTGTTCTGCCGTAGAATATTTGGGAAATGCCGAAAAAATGCCAAAAAGGGCGTAAATTAACCCGGAAAATAAATATCGTGCGACTTTGAAATTTTGCTAAATGAAAACAGCACCTCCATATTCCCTAGAAAGGTTATTATCTTAAAATGTCAAAATTTTGAGATACATGGTTTTGCCTTGGAAGGGCCGTACTGCTGAGCTAGTATGGTTCCCTAACCATTAATTTCCTTACGCTTATAAATTACTCTGTTTTGTCTGAAGGGAACCAGACAACAATCACAGCACTTTTTCTTGGTTTTTCAGCATCTATGAACACAAAATTTTAAACAAGTCATCAGTGTAACAATATTTGCTATAAAATATATCTTCCAAATCAGTCTTTTTCTGAAAACAGCAAAAGCAATTTAATACTGTGCGTTTTGCTGATAACATTTACAGCACCAGTTGGGTTGGGGGTGGGGCTATGGGGAGGGGGTGTACCAATAAAAGGTTTTTGTATTTTTATTTTATAAAAAAAACAAAAACAACCACATTTTATCAATTTGGACTGTATTTGGTCAGTAAGCGTGTTCATGTATGTGAAATTGTTCATGTTACTGTGCAATCATGAACTTTGTAAACAAATTCCAATCAATTTTGCCGGATCTTCCTTGTCGACCGCGTGAGGGCGCCATTCACCTTATCAACAGACCAGACGTGTGTGGTGCATTGTAACTGCGTTCATATTTTTCCGCATTCATCGTCCGACTTCATACAAAGTGACCCGTTGTTTCCGTTAAAAATGGTACGTTATGGTTTTGTATTTAAGGTGTTTAAAATGTTAATGCTTTGAAGTGTGTTTTTGTATGGACAGAAAACTTGTAATATCGATAGTTCTGCGACGGTGTAACGGTCAATGTCGCTGAATGTGTTGTCGCACTTGTGTTCATTCGAGTACGGAGCCCGGGAACGGACATCAAAATGCTGATTGTTAAGGGCCCCTCTTTAATTTTTAGTCCTCATAGTATTTTTATCACTCTGAAATGGCTGTTGCTACCTTAAGCAGTCTGTTACTGTTAGTAATATGGGTAAAATAGGAGATTCACACTGCTTATATTTTAGGCAGTGTATATTTTGCCGGAGACGGCAAACCTTTAGTAAACGTTAGTTTGCCGGATATGCACTGAACATGCGCAGTTACTGTTTTTTTTTTACTTAAACATTTTCCGGTGACAAGTTTTAGTCTGGCTCCATGCCAAAATTATCGTTGTTACCTCGTATTCACAAGATGGGATTCAGACCATTTTATAATTTCGGACTTTATTTCCCTTTTAAAAAAAATCCTCCAGAGCCACAAATCTGAAAAAGAAAATGTAATACTCTGCAAAAAATGTTTGAGACATGTTAAAATAATAAAAGAAGAATATTCTTATTTGTTTTGGGATGAGAAATTTTTTTTTTAAATGTGGTGTGGTAGGAATCGAACGCGAGTCATCCCGTTTACTAGAGCCTTTGTTTAACCATTACACCAAACGTGCTACACAACTTTTGGTGGGAATTTAATACATCTTATAATTCAGCCCTATTTTAAAGAGTACAGCGCCCTCTGTTGATATGAATTGCCCCCGGCAAACCTTTAGTAATCGTTAGTTTGCCGTCATTACCTCCGGCAAAATATCCACTATCTATATTTTATGACTTCCGTTCATGAAATTGAATGAAAACAGAAAAGTAAAACCTTGCCGGGCTCTTTCTTTTTGTCTTTCCACAAAATTAAGCTACCTGATATGAAGTTTAGGCTTAGCGAACTGTTTAGATGATTCAAAATGCATAAAGTGTCATTCTCTGCTTGTATCATTGCCAGTCCCAAAACTAGTGTCTTTTCATTTGTCAGTCATGTCAGTCATATGGAACGGGCACACGGGGTCAAGTATGTAGGAGTAAGAAGGGAATCCATGATAATGTGATTTTTTTAATGTATTTCTAATGCGCTTATCAAACTTCCCCTCGAAGGATGTGTTTCTCATGATAAGGCGGAAGAACTGGACCATCTTCACGGATGCCAAGGAGACGAGTACCGTCTACGAGCTCAAGCGCATCATAGAGGGCATCATCAAGAGATCCCCGGAGGATCAGAAACTCTTCAAGGATAAAGAGGAACTGGATAACACCAAGACGTTGGCAGACTGCGGACTGACGAGCAACACGGCTAAAGCACAGGCCCCGGCAATGCTGGGATTAGCCTGCAAACTAGATGGTAGGTAGCCCCATAAATGTGTCTGAAATACTGGAATTCCTCTCTACGGGCTCCATTCACAAGTACCCCCTCAACGGTAAGAAAGGAATAGTCGGGGGAGACCACTGGCACTGGAAGAGACATTCAAATGAATTGTCAACAACGTCCGACACACGCGCGAAGATGCTATGACTTTTGTGCACAGTCAGAATAGAATGAGTTGGGCTCTGTGCGCCAACAAAAGAGGGCGCGTTTTTACCACTTTTGAGAGCCCCGTGGACAGGACACACAGCATGTGTGTTATGTACTGTACTGGTTTACGCGCGAAGTACGCACGACTTCCTGAATGTGCTAAAGCTTAGCCACAGCGTCTTTGCGTGAGCGTCCGGCGTCGTTGGTGCGCGGCTGCATTCAAATATAACTTGCTGTGGTCTCCCAGACTAATCCCCGCCCCCAATAACTTTGGATCATTTGAAATACGCAGTGGATGGACCGGGAACCAGTCTCCCCCAACTCTCCTTTTCTGGCGTTGAGTACTTGTGCACGAAGCCCATAAGTGGAAAAAACACCCTTTCTTGTTCACACAAGGAGCCCATAGTGCGCCACACAGCAATGTGTGCTAAGTTTTCTGTAAAGTTGTGTTCCCCAAATTTGAATCTAGATTTTTTTTACTCGATATTCACTATGGAAGCTACTTACATTGTGCTTGGTTAAGGGGTAGGAAAACTCAAATTCCCTACCTTTAGACATCTAGTTATCCTGCAAAAATCATGCAGTCGTTTCAGACATTTGCTCCAAATTTCCCCTTAAATTTATTGGATAGTTTAAGGTCGTGAGGTAGAGAACATGATTTAAGTCATTTTTTATTGGTTTTTTTTCCCCAGGTGACACAGACGAGTTTGAGACGCTAGACTTGCAAGCATACTCCAACCCTCCTGAGCTCCCAGATGTCATGAAATCCTCCGAACCCTCCACAACAAATACAGTGGAACCTCCTGTATCATAGACTAATAAGTAGCATGTCCACACCATTATGCTTATGTACATGTACGTGCACGTGTAATCAGAGATTTCCCACTAACCCCTACTAAGTAGGCAAAGGTCTTAGCAAATGAAGTTCTATTTTCAAAGTGTACCTCCTAATGTACATGCAAACTGGTACAAAAGATGTCAAAAGATTGATTTGTGAAAAAGAACTAACCAACCCTCCCACATCTGTCAAAATTTTCCAGGAGGTTTTTGGAGGATTTTGTAGGATTGAGGAAGGTAGAATCCAGCTACTGTTACTTTACTCGATGTACCTTAAAAGTTTCAAGTACAAAATGATGTGCCATTTGGTGCCTTCACAGTGGAGGATTTGGGAGGATTCAGGAAGTTTCTACAAAATTGTACAAATCTTCTAAGTTTGCTACAAATCTTCCTGAATCCTACAAAACTGTGTTGAAAAACAATGGCACATTCTCTGGACTTGAAACTTGCTACATACATCAACCCACATGTAAAGTAATGGTGGCTTTGCTCAACCACCCTCAATTTTTACAAAATCGTCCTGAAATGAAATTTGAAAGAACTGAAACACATGCCAACATTCACCTTTCGAAGTAAACGCTATGATATATGCTCCACTAATAGTTAAAATAGAATTTCCCGTATAAATACTTAAATGTTCAGAAATGTATAAATGTATTTCAGAGTAGTGTATCCCTAGCACCGACTTTGCCTAAATCCTAATTTAAAATGTAAAATTTGCACAACTTACCTATTACATACTCTTCCTATTAACCATGCGGTTTTGTACAGGGAGTGAACAGTTTCATTGTAATGGTTGCCTGATTTCTGTACTTGTAAAAAATGAAGACTTTTTTTATATTGCTTCTCAAACATGTTGATCCTCACACCGTTTAAAAAAAAAATGTTGTTGTGTTTTGCCTTGAAGCTGTTATTGAAAAGTGCATTCTAAGTTTAAGATAGGTGGCTAGTGCGTAAAGCGTGCTCATCACTGTGGCCCGGGTTCGATTCCTGGCTCGGACCAAATGTGAGTAGAGTTGTTCGTTGATTCTCTCCTGTGCCACGAGGGTTTTTTTTTTTCTCTGGGCTCTCTGGTTCTCCTTCCTCTGCCAAAAATCAACACCTTCGGTCTGGCTGTGCTCCTTGATGAGACATGAGTCATGTTGCGGCTGCCCATTAAAGGCGCCTTTACATACCTTCGGCTGGACCAATTCAGCTTCTCAATTGTGAGTAAGTATGATTAGCCCCCCAAATTATTATTATTATTATTGTTATTGTAAGACTAGGAGTTTATTTATTCATATTTTTCATTCATAAGTCAAACCTGCATTTCACTATCAAATAAATAGTTACACCAATTCAAATCAGTCACTTATGGTGGTATTTTTTATTAAGGCAAAAAAAAAAATAAGTCGGTCTCTGGTCAACGCACGTGTCGATTTTAATCATGCTCGTCAATCTTGTTTTTTTTCCAAAATGTTTCGCGGTAGCTCCAACAGCGCCCTCTATTGCCGCACCTCAATTTTTTTTTACCAAAGAGCACCAAGGAATGGGAAATTGCACCAAGGCAAATGATCGAAAGCACCAAGGCAAATTATGGAGGACACCAATGTACATGAGGACACCAAAAAAAGCAAAATAGTACCCCAACTTGTCTGTACAATCCAAGCTTGAAGAAAAAGAAATAAAAAGCAAAAAAAAAAAAAAAAAAGCCGCATCGCCGCGTCAATTCCGGAACTTTGGTCTGACCAGAGACCGAATATTTATTTTTTTTGGCCTAAGGGTTGTATTTTATACTTTTTGCACATTTGTTTTTGTTTGAAGCAACAAAGGTACACGCTGTGTGCATTTACGGGTTGTACGAGAAAGGGTACCTGTTTGAGAAATACACAGATACGCGGATACCTTTAAAACAAACCAACCCCGAAGTTAAAATCACGGAAGTTGCTGTTCAGATTGTTCATGAAGGTCCGCATGATACTAACTACCATATCTGTGTGTCGATACAGCAAGATACAAGTGTGTACAGTGAGCTTGTAGCTTTACAGTGTAAACTGCTACTTTTGTAATAAACATGAAACATGTTTTGTTTTCCACTGTAGCCTGGTTTCCATTTTTAAATTCCCCACAAATGGCATTCAAAACCTTTCTTTTTCATTGTCTGAGGAGTTACGAAGTAATTTGTAAAGTTGGTTTTGGGTACCCTCCTCCATAATCTGGAACCGGTTCCTGACATTCACGGTCGGATACTCCGGTACCCAGTTCCGATGCACAGCTCTAAAAGGTACTCAAATCTGGTGCATAACAACTGACTTGTAGAACTCAGCTCAGGGGATGCACTATCATGTGGAGTACCGTGGCCTGTGTGGAGTACCATGGCCTCGTGGTCTGGAGCATTGAATTTGTGGTTTGCGGGTAATTTTGCAGGTTGTGGGTTCGAGTCCAGCCTGCGGCTAAGGTGCGTGTGCCCTTGGACAAGACACTTTGTCACTCATTGCTTCTCTCCATCCAGGAGTAAATGGGTAGAGATGGTTATTGTGGTTGATTTTAGCTGCTTTGTGCCGAAATAGCTACATCCGAGCTATATACTCCCCAGGGAGCTGAGATAGTATTTGGAATGTTTCATTGGCCCAATGAGCAGGGTAATAATGATGTAGCGCCTTGAACACCAATAATGGTGGATACGTGCGCTTTATAAATACACATTATTATTAGGTACCTTTTAACGAGATTACATATTTCTATATATATATCTCTCTGGCCATCCAATAGTGAACTTAAAAATCACTGCATTCATTCCTGTATGATGTTATATGTATCCCAAGTCTCCTCTGAATACTTCACAGTTAAAATGCCAACATTTGGTATTTGCTCTCTTTTTTTGTAAATTTCCAATTTGTTTTGTTATTGTAAATAACGTGATTGAAGTTTTGTTTTTTTCTCTTGTTTTGTGCTGTTCACCATTCCTAGGATATGTAACGTGCCATTATAAAGAATTGTATTGTTTCATTTGAACACAATCTTTGCGAATACAGTCCATGTTTTAAACAAACACGTTTTGATACAGAGTTGTTTTTTTTATAAGTTTTTGTATTTCTTTTTCCTTTTTCTTTTTTTCCTTCAGTAACATTTTCAGAAGTGGTTGCAAGTCTCGAGCGAGTTGTGAATTTTTCAACTCAAGCTCTCACAAAGAAATTACTTGTGAACAATTGATTACTCACAATAATTGATAGTGTAGCTGTTGTTTATCACCCACCGCATGGTATCCGCATAAACTGTTGTACTTTTTGGCAAACAGCAAAATTGGGGGGGGGGGGGGGGGGGGGAGAGAGAGACTGACTCTCAAAACTTCTAAAATGTCTATATTTTGCATTGGCTAAGCACTGTCATAACTGTGGCAAGGCCACTGTGGTGTGAAAACAGACCAATTGGTTGCGTTGCACAATAGTGGATAGAATTGGAAAAGGGACAAGTCACATATGAAGGGTTAGGAGTTCATGTAAGGTAAAAGAGTCCAAATTTCATATGACACCATTTCATGTTTCATACAATAGACCTAAGACATAATGACGTCACGCTTTGTTTACATGCGCGCTTGCCTGAGACCCACCAGGCTCCCATAGGAAAGCTTTATGCAAACAAAGCATGACATCATTACGTCTTTTTTTGTTGATTAAAGCAAAGGAACTTGATGATGTCAAAGATTTGCAGCAAAATTCCCCCGGAGTTGAAATGTCTTCATTTTTTTTGTGATGTCGCATAACATCTGATGTTCGCCTTTTTTAATGAGAAGAATTCATCAAGTATTGTATCTGGACATCCTTGAACAAAAACAACACAATATCATATTTTTAAAAAAATGTTACATCTTTTAAATTAAATGTATTTTTTAATTGGCAAAATCTAGTGATACTTTCCATTTACGACTACACCATAGTTACAAATAATTCGCATTTTAAACTTACATTTCTTAAAACGTTAACCCTACTTCCTTTTAATAACATTTTGGCCTTAACCGGTTTTTGTGTGTGTTAAATCCCCCCCCCCCCCAATCCACCAAAATCTAACAAATATACAACAGCATTATTTGTATTTAAACGAGGGCGATCAAGCCCCATGCAAAGTAATGGAGAATGGGCTGACGAGTCCTGAATCCTTTGAAATCTTGCAAAACCCTACAAAACCGAGAATTCTGTGCTTAACCATTGTGTGCTAACCCTGTAAGCACAGAATCCTTGGTGAAGGGATGTATGCATGCAGCATGCCCAAGCCCATCTTCCTCGCTAAGCAGTGAAATGTACTAACCATTTCCACAGATAGTTCTGCTACCGTGATAACGTTAAGCAGAGCCACGAAATTTTGCCTATACCTCTAGCTGGTTAGGAATTAGCTGAATTAAATTTTGCATATTACATATTACACTGTACCACACAAATTTACCAAATTACACATAAAACTAACTGTTAAAAAAATTACGCTTCCATACATTATTTACTTAATTTATTTTCCTGATTAAAACATTTCTTCAATTCTAGTGTAAAAACATTAATTTTTGGTTATTTAAAAAGTTCCATTTGTTCTTTTACATGATTTGAAATTAAGCTGAATGGTGTACAAAATAAAGTTGCCAGTAAAATTTAAGTCAAGGATTTTGCACACACATAAATGCAGGTTTTATAGATGTTGAAAATTTCAATACTGCATCACGAATGGTATTTAGAACTAAAGATGGTTAAAATAATAATAATAATAATAATTAAAATAATAAACAAATAATAATAATCCATACATATCCCTTCCACAAATCTTAAAATTGTTAATTTTGTCAGTAAAATTGAAAGTCAAACAGGCAAATCTTTATGGAAGTTCTTGTATGTTGCAAACAAAATTGGCACATTTGCTTTCGTATAAGCCTCTATAAAACATGTTATTTGTTTTGTCACTTTGTAAAATAAAGATATGCTAATTCTTTCTCAATATTACATGTGATTGGGTAAGTTTTCCCGACATCAAACCCCATGCATTATACGTATTGAATAAGTATACCACTGAAGCACCATAATACAAGCAGGTATCGTAATACAGCATGTTGTAGATACACCAAAACCAAGACCGTTTGCTACTTTCAATAAACATGTCGAAATTCTACCAATGGGTTGCAGTAAGAGTAGCGTGTGCGTTCATGGTGACTGAACCCAACAGACAATCGTGTATATGTACGCTTGCAAGACATGCATGCATAGCACTAATGTAAACATGCATTGTCTTAAAATCTACCTACATATCCATATTTTTGTTTTACAAAATTGTTTACCACCTCTTAACTGTACACATCTTAATTTATTGACTCTCCATTAAATGCCTGCCAGATATAATAATACTTAATACTATCATTAATACTATCCACACTGCCATTGAAACCGTTGTATTACTTAAATTATTAAAAGGGCGAGCGAAATAGATTCTTTATTTGCTTGATTTTTTAAACTGCGACTTTGTTTTTTAACTTCACTCTGATGCAATGCATTGCTATTCAAACTTTGTTTCGGGGCATTTTTGGAAAGAATTACATACTGACATCACAAATTTTTCCCTGCAGTGACATCAGCCATCAGAAAGTGAAAACATGTCCTAAAAAGTCAAATTTAGCAGGGAAAATATTGAAGAACTATTGGAGAAAACACTTAGGATTTTTCAGACCAGTCTCACAGGGTTTGTGCACAGGGTGTCAAGTGATGTCCAGGTATGGAACTCTTTCCCGTTTTTTACTTATGCTAATCCGAATTTCCATATTCATGATTTAAACTGTGATGTCATCTTGGTCAAGCATCGGTAAACTACAGCTTTTTGAGTTCAGAATTTGCCACAATTTTGTATTGTCAATGCTTGGTAAGTTCTTCATAATTTTAAAGTCAATATGCTATGTTTCGATTCAGAATTTTTGTAAAGGGAATGCAGAAGATGTACAGCAAGTGCCTCGACTGACATCACAGCAACAGCGCCCTCAGTTGTCGGGAAATACCACGGATGGTTGGAGACGTTATATAGTGAAAATAGGCACTTCATAAAAACTGAAGTTAAAAAAGGACTTCTTACTATTGAGAGACACAAATATCTGCACAAACTGGTTGGAGAGAAAAATTCATTTTAAAGGTCATTTAATTTTAAAAAAATGCAGATTTACTTCTTTGGGTCGAGTCCGTTGGCTATAAAGAGTTCCTGTATAGCGCTGACGTGTTCCTGTAAGCATGTGTCGTATTCTCGTATATCTTTCAGCACGACCTCTTGTGATTCCCCATTGGACAATTTTGAGATGAGGTCGGTGTAGTACGGTGCCGCATGGAAGGCGAGCTGCAACGGGCAACAGAATAACAGTGAGTGGGTACTAGGTACAAGACTGTTGTATTAAAGACATATAATGTCTTCAGGTTTTGTGGATATGAACACAATATTAAATTATTTTGTGTAAATGGAAAGTTTGCATGATTTTTGAAATTTTGGGTAAGAAATTAAATTTCTTCAAACTTGCATGAAAGATGTTGAATGGGATCTAAATCGCATTCCAACTTTAACAATGACGAGAATTTTAGCTTAAATCAGTCAAAAATATTAATTTTCCCAATAATTCTGCACAATTTATACAATAATTCAAACAACCATTCCTGTTGCTCCCTATACCGTCCACAACACTGGATAGTTTTAACACAATGTATGGTAATACAATGTAGTTCATGTCATAATGATGAGACAGTGTGGCCTAGTGGTTAGGGTTCTTGTCTTCTGATCAGAGGGTCAGGGGTTCAAATCCAGCTGCTGGCCATATGTGTGTCCTTGGGCAAGCCACTTTACCCCACTTGCCTCTCTCCACCCAGGAGTATAAATTGGTACCAGCATTAGCTGGCATCCCATCCAGGGGGAATAGAAATATTCTCAGTCATTTTATGCCAAGGAAATGGGAGATAAACGTTGGCCTGTTGGGCCATATTGGCTTATGACAGACTTGGCTAGACTTTTACAGGTCATTATGGGTTAAAGGTAAAGTCTGAAACCCAGACTTACTTCTACTGCTTTCCTGACAAACCAGCTGTGGTAGCCTTCTAGCGTGGCTTTGTACGCTGTGGACAGCGCTGGTATGATGCTGTTGTCCTTGACGTTTCCCTCGATGACATTCTTCAAAATTGTGCAGATAAAATTCAGCGCCCTGTAACCCCCAAAAACCCACGAATTTGTTTAAGTAGAAACAAGCCTTGTTCAAAAAAGTGTGATTTATTATTTTGTTTGTGACTGACAACTCATGTTTTTTGTTTGTTGTTATGCACCCTACATGTACTTTAGAATTCTTTTGCAATTTTGCTGTTTTAAGCACACAAAAAAAACGCACACAAAGCAAATCATCCAATGTACCTTTATGGCAGGTAAGCAGGTAAACACAATTTTCTGGTTTAGTTACAACTAATCTGGTTTAGTTACCAAAATTTTTTTTCGGTTTAGTTATCACAACTTTACTGGTTTAATAAGTACAACTTTTTTGGTTCAGTTTAAAAGCTCACAACGTTTATGGTTGATTATAAAGCACAACATTTCTGGTTTAGTTACAACTATTCTGATTTAACTAGGTCACAACTTTTCTGGTTTGGTTAGCACAACTTGTCTAGTTTAGTGAGCACAACTTGTCTGGTTTAGTTAGCACAACTTGTCTGGATTAGTTAGCACAACTTGTCTGGATTAGTTAGCATAACTTTAGAAGTTAAGATAACTTTTCTGGTTTACTATTTGCCGTGCAAAGCTTAAAAACAACACTTTTTTTCTGGTGTAGTTAGCTCAAGTTTTCTAGCTTAAGTTACCACAACTTTTCTGTTTAGTTACCACAACTTTTCTGGTTAGTTAGCACAAGTTTCTGGTTTAATTAACACAACTTTTCTGGTTGAAAGTTAGCAAAACGTTTGATCCAACTTACCTGCTTAGCCAGAGTAGCGCTTCTGTCGTTGAGTTGCTCTTCAAACCTTTATTTTCTTTTACATCTATTTCGATAATGTCTGCTAACGTGCTGAACTTTTCAGGATCTTCGTCGTATCGTTTTCTTACTCTCTAAATTGGGGGTAAAAAAAAGGGAATTTTGTTAAGTTAATTGAAAGGGAAAATATTTAATCTCACTATGAATCGTTACAATGTTGAAGCCTGATGACGTTGCAATCCTGCAAAATCATCCGTTAGGCCTATTTCTTGAATGTGGTCCTTGGAGGGGTGACCACTGCCTCAATCCTGCAAAATCCTCCAGCAATCACTGTCAATATGTTGAGGCAGAGCCAGTAACATCCTGGAGCAGTGCGGAAGATTTCAAGTATAATATAGGCCTAAATTTATGCACGACTGAGCATAAACAACACAAGGTCCGGCCCAAGACCTTGACACAGTGCATCCTCCAAAATCAGCCACACACTTTTTGCTATATAGCCTCAATTCTGCGAAATCCTCCATTTTGCAAAGAGGATTTTGGAGGATTTGGGAAGGTTAGGGTTAATTAATGATATGCATACAAGTACCTTCATGTTTCCGTTGACGTCGGATTTCACGAAGGCAAATGCATTCGGTCCCAACATATCTACCAGGAGAACAGAAACAGGTGAAGTTCAAAACTCAATTTTTCATTACAATCATCTTTGAACAGCATAAAACCTTCCATTTCTACGTCTTTATCTATCTGATGTATCCAGACCCTTATACTGGTACCAGCACATGTATGTAGGACTGTCTGTATAAGACAATGTTTTGTGACCGCATATTTATAAGTTATGAATTGAAGTACATGGACTGCCTTGAGAAAATATGTACATTGTCAGGCCAAGTAAAAAAAAAATCTAGTTTTTCGTCCCTGTCCGCTTCCTTTTATCCTCCCCGCCCCTTTTCCTTCCCAGTATATTTTGCAAATATATTATTGTAATCATTTTGTTTTTTTGTTTCCAACAAAATTGTAGATAGGGGCCTATGTGGAAAGGGTTTTGCTTTGGACACAATTTTGGGACAGCAAAAGAGTTGAGATAATGGAAGAATCAATCAACCATCTTGAAACATCCACCATCTTGGGTAAAAAAAAAAGAGAAAAAAATTATTGAGCAAAATAAAAATTAATAAAAAATTATCATTGCGCTACATCATACATGGCACCAACCAGTCCGTAAACCACGTAGGAAAAACGTAATTTCTACCCCAAGAAACTGTTCAAAAAATACCAAAAAGGACTGTCGTAACAACAGTGACTGATTGAGAGAAGTCTGCTTTTGGTTGGCATTAGCCATTAATGAAAAAAATGTTTGATTCTAATTGGATCGAAACAAAACAGGGGCCCTACACTATACGATCACCCTACTTTTGCTATTAAAATGGTAAAATGTTCATGGTAATTGATATTATTATGTTCAATATTAACAAGATGAATCTCCCCACCACTACTCCCAAGCCCCGCCCCTCCTCATCATCGTACATCACACAGCCCACAGGCAGTCATAGCACAAACGAACACAAATTACTCACCAATAACAGGTAAGATTGACTCTGTACTCGCAAGCAGGAATGGTAGCGTCTGTATTCTCCTGTCTTCTGGAACAGGGGCGTATTTGTGCTCCAAACTCTTGTGAAAAGACATTTTAGAGGAGGTACACTTTTGAGTTTTGTATTTGTACGTCTAGTTTTACGTCGATTATCTTGCACAGTTATATACGTCAGGGCTCCGTTTTTGTCAGGTAGGGTGCTATAATCACCGTGAATCAAATGAAACCCCGCTTTTTATAGACTATGGCTACGGATTGTCATAAACAGCAGAGCATGATATATGACACCGCCATTTAGCCATAGTCCAAAAACTACGAATCAGAAATTTTGAGGCACCAGACTAAACTGCACGCTGCACGGCGATTGGCGGCGCCCTACTAATTTATCAGTGAACGAAATGATGAAAACTTAAACTTAGTGCAGAATTTTTGCTGCCATGACTGACGCAAAGAAAGCCCGGAAGGACCGAACGATACGACAATTTACTCCTGTAAGTCATGACAGAAATGACATATAACTTTACCAGAGACTTGTTTTAGGTATTTCTTTTTGGTACTGGGATTAACGAATAATTAGTGAATGACACTGGGACTGTCATGACTGTCGACTTGACTGCAACAAGTTAGGGCCGGGTTTTTTTTTAGGGGCGGGGCCGGGGTAGGGTGGGGGGCGTTGTCATTGACAAAACTGCTTACTTTGAAACCAGGGCTGCCAACTCTCACACATTGAACGTGAGACTCATGCATAGGCCCTATATCTGGTTGTTCTCATGCTCTCAAACGCACATTTCTCAATCTCATGGCTGCTAAGACAATGCTATTGTCTTGATTGCTAAAAAAAATTAAGGTGCAGATCGTGAAGTGTAGGGCCCCTGTTTTGTTTAGAGTAATAAATGTTTTTTATTGCTAAAAAATCATCTTTACAATCAAAATCAGACTTTTCTCAATACTAATGACACCCGTTTTGCAATTTTGAACAGATTCTTGGGGTAGTAATCACGATTTTCCTGCGCAGTTTGTGCCTTGCAATTCAGCGCGCCGTGATGGCCACTTTATTTTCGGGTCACAGGTTGTCGCCGCGCTGTCACCGTCATTTTTACCCCCAAATTTCCCTCAAAAAATCAAAACCCTGCTCTCTATCTATAGAGATTGTTTATTGAGAATGTCGCCAGTTTGGTAGGGCCAATAATTTTAAAGTGGATTTTGTTCCCTTATAAGTTATAGGAACCGAGCCCTAAACTACACGATTGCCAAAATTAATATAAAACTCTCTAAATCATGATGTTTAATGATGATCTTTTAAGTTATGCTAGCTCTATTTTTTGTTTTTTCAGTGTAAAATGATGTCTCATAACCGTTTCAGTTGTTTCAGTTTCATTTTTTTATTTCTTTCCGTTTGAAAAAAATGACAGCCATATCAATCTCCGTACAGTGACCGCGACTTCAGTCCGGCAGTCTGGAGTGCCTGCCTTGCCAACAAACCAGGCACCTTTGGGTACGTCACATATATCCTGCTTGGATGATTTTGCAGAACAACTGCTATAGCACAGTGGGAAGGCAAATTTTGGGCAATTTCTGTGGAATACTCTGTGCCTTTCTCTTCCCTTGCTATGGAACTTTTTTGGCTGTTTGGCAAAATCACTCGAGTGGTATCCACAAATCAATTCACCAAGTTGACTACATGTACTGCGATCTCAGCTTTGTTCCGCATGTTAACCAGTTTGCGCCGCCTCCGAATGACGTGTTTACCCACAGCATTCAGAACAGATGACAGATAAACACGCAGGGAGCGAGGCCGGATATATCTGTCATTGACCTGCTCGCAGCGAGCGAGGCCGGAAATAATGCTGCCTGAGGTTGATGGCTTCAACCCACCTGGCTTGAGGTCGAGTGAAAAGTAATCCCACACCTTGTTCCGTTCTTGTCAAAAGAATCCCGGCGTGAACTGGTTAAGAAACGTGTTCATTGCTGGATGCCTCCGATTTGGCTATTGTGGCCTAAGTGTCTCAATGTGTGCTCAAAGCCCTTGTGTCCTTGAGCAAGGCACCTAACAATGATTTTGTTAAGTTTAGGCAGAACTTCTAGTGGAAGAATAGAAGTGTTAAATATTTTCGGACGCTTTCTAAAATTCAGAGAACAACATTTGTTCACTTTGAATAATGAGGCCAATACGTACAAGTGGTCATCATACTTTTGTTTTTGGAGAAGGCTCCCTCTTCAGGTTACTCTAGGAAAAGGATGGCTACCTGATAAATAACACAGCATTAGCTCTGAAATCGCCCTCCTTTTCAGTTGTTGTGTTTGCTGAAGTGTGAGTGAAGTTCAGCTAATGGTGTTTTTTCATGTTTTCTCTGAGATTTTGGATTTTAGTTTTTAATCCCTTTCTGGTATGTACATTTGTATCAGTATGTGCTCCTTGCTCGAACAAGAGAGGGCGCCTTTTTCCCACTTTCAAAAGCCCAGTTAACAGGACACACAGCGTGTGCGTACTGGTTCACACCTGTGTACCCAAAGAGTATGCACGATTAATTGTCCATTCTGAATATGCATGTATGCAGAAAGCCAAAGCATTTTTTTTTTTGGTGAGCGTCGGGCGTCATTAGCAGTGCATTCAAATGTCTCCCCCAAGTGGTCTCTTCCAACTCTCCCTTTCATACTCTTGAGGGGGAACTTGTGCACACAACCCATATTATTTAGTTGGGCACATTTTGTACCCCATACACTGTGTACAAATGTACATGTATATTTTAAGTGTCCTTTGGTACAAATAGCACTCCTTACCATTTCACCTTGTTAATTTTGGAATAAACCATTATTTGTGCAGTTATAAGGAAATGGAACAGTCCAAGTTGGTTGGCTGAAGATTAGCTGTTTGGGGGTAAAGCTCACTATTGTTTGAAGTGACCTACGTGTATATCTCTCCGGAATAACCCATTATTGGAGCGGTTATAAGGAAATGGAACAGTCCAAGTTGGTTGGCTGAAGATTAGCTGTTTGGGGGTAAAGCTCACAATTGTTTGAAGTGACCTATATCTCTCAGGAATATTCCATTATTTGTGCAGTTATAAGTAAATGGAACAGTCCCAGTTGGTTGGCTGAAGATTAGCCTTTTACAGGTTAAGCTCACTATTGTTTGAAGTCACTTATTTCTCTCTCCTTGCTAGGGCCAGACAGCAAGTTTCAATGGTCTTTTGTTATTGTATTAAGCTTTTCTGACCATGCTCTAGCCTGGCATGATTTAAGTCATTATCCTCATTCCAGACGGATTTTCTAAAGCCATATAAAACTGTGGTGCAAGTAATTTCAATAGGCACATTTGTGACTGGGACACGCCCAGAGAACATCCACAGGGCTGTTGGATGTTCTTGCTGTTTCATTTCTTTCTGTATGTAAGTTTTGTATTTCCTTTCTAAATGATGGGTCCGATCCAGCCATTTCTTTTCTCCTGATTTGTATGTTTCTTGTGCATGTGGCCAGGTTACAGTGTTGGCAGGTCTTTATCTCGGGGAGGGCGTCGCCCGGACTGGGGCTGTGTTGTTTGAATATTACACGTTTAAAATGAGGCTGAAATTGGCTAACATGCGCAACAAATTGATCGGGAAGACTCGTTTAGCCCTGCGTAGTAGCAGGAAGCAACTAGTCAGTTTATTAATTATTGCCATTTACTTGTACTTTTTGTAAATATTACGGCCATTGTGTAGTGTAGGGCCCCTGTTTAGTTTCAATCAAATTAGAGTCGAGTGTTTTTTTTAATACTCAAAATGAGCTTTTCAACCTAAAGCAGACTTCTCTCAATATAATGGCACTTTTTTGTAATTTGTGAACAGTTCCTTGGGGTAGAAATTACGATTTTCCTACTCGCTTTACGGTTGGTGCCGTGCGATTCAGCGTGCCTTGCGCGTTCACGGTAGTGACGGTACAATATATATCGCGCAGTGATTGCCGTCTTTATTTTTTTGTTGTGTTTTGTCGTTGTCGTCATCACTTTATGCCCCAAATTTCCCTCAAAACTCCAAAACCCTGCCCTTTATCTATGACATACCTGCATGTTCTTAATGTCGCCAACTAGTTTGGTGGGTCAAATAATTAAAAGTGGATTTTGTTCCCATATAGGAATCGGGCCCGTAGGTACACGATCGCCAAAATTACTGTTAAGTTTGTTTTCTAAAATAAACGCCGACCAAAAAGTATTGTGCCGCAACTGAGGAAGTTCATATTTTAATTGTTTTTGATTTAATTTATTTAAGTCAGGTTTGTCCTCGAACCCCAAAATTATAACTGGCGGAACGTTTCAAGGGGTTTCGTTGCAATAGTCTTCAGCTCTCTAATAATGCATGGAAAGTGACTGTCGACAAACATGTGGCATTTGACTGGTACAGTTAAACAAAAACCACAGACATTGTTTCATAATCTTCCCGAGTTTACTCACATATTTCAAATATTCAAATTGGAAAAATGCTTTCCGGATGTTTGGCATATGATTGAATTCAAAATTTTCAGTATATTTTGCACAGCCCTACTCTTTACACAGGTGTACACGTTTGTTCATGATTTCAGAAAGTTTTCCTTACTAGGCCACCACTTTTTTCAATAAACTTTCAAGAGCCAAAAACTTACATCCTTTATGGTTATTTCCTCCACTTTTCCCTTCTCTACTCTCACCCTCTCCTTTTCCTTTGTTCCTATTTATTAATCAGTCACTTACTTCATCGAGATTCGAACCTCGGTCTCTTCTTTGAAACACAACACTCTTACCACTAGGCCGCTCACGGTCGCTTGTTGCAATGATCAATCTTTGGACGTATTTACAATATTCATTGAAATAAACTAAATATTCATGAGAAATTAAATAATCATAATGATGTATTGCACTGCCATTGGCGGGTTTGTGTGTAGTCGATGTCATGCGTATAACGTACCGCTGTCTTCCAGACTCTTAAAACAATATGACCAGCTGCCTCCAACTTAGTTCTGCACAACATATGCATCCAAACTGTGCTCTAAAACACATTTAGAAAAAAAATTCCATGTTTGGAGCTCCCTGGATTCGGCCTGGGAGAAATCACAAAGTTAGGTGAAAATTGATGTGTTTGGCGGCAGGTAAGTGGTGGCCTAGTATGGAAAACTTTCCATGATTTCTTCCACTGGATTTTAGAGAAACAAAGTATTTCTAGGGTTATCAAATTGACGTTGAAAATCTTCTGATGTTTATTTTTTTAATTTGTACAGGTTGGGCGTGTTAAAAATGATAATGGTTGGCGATGCTTCTGTGGGAAAAACAGCCCTCATCCAGCGGTTCTGCCATGGGTGCTTCCCCCAAAAGTATATACTCACAGTGGGCATCGAATTCGAAGTGGAAACATTTTATATTCTCGGCGTTCCCTTCAAGCTACACATGTGAGTTGTTTGTATAGGCATCAACAAATGTTGCTGGATTTTTGTCCAAAATTGTTTATCAAGCCATGAGACCACACCGCAGCCGATATCAGCGCTCAATTGGTTTTCGACCCTCACGGGTACCCATTTATACTTCCGCGTGGAGAGAGGCAATTTTTAAAGGTTTTAAAAGTATCTTACCCAAGGCCACAAACACCATGTTCCTGGCAGGATTCGAACCCATGCACCTTCGTGTGTGAGTCAACCACCGTAACCACTGGAGCTTGGCGTTCTACATTTTAGCAGCTTTTTGTGATTAGGCCTATTAGCGTGTGATTGATTTGTGATTGTCTTTAGATTATTTTCTGATGGACTTGTGATGATTAAACTGTGATTAACTTGCAAGAGACTTGTGATTGAGATGTGATTAACTTGTGATGGCTTGTGATTGACTCGTGATTATTACTTGTGTTTGAAACTCTTACTGTGACAAAAAGCCCCGTAATTCATGAATATTTCTACTTTCCACCGTGACCACGCCTTATGTAATTTCTTTTCATAGATGGGACACAGCAGGTGAGGAAAAATTCCGAAGTATTGCCTCGCCTTACTACAGAGGCGCACATGGTAAGAAAATATGAATTACACAAAGGAAACCCGCACCAATTCAGAGCAATATTTTGAAGCCCCCCCCCCCCTTTTTGAACTCTGCTTTGGGGGATTTTACTTTCAGAAAATGTTCAGAGTTTATTTGTTTACCAGCTCTCTGTAGTGATGGAATTTTAAACACAACCAACCGTTTTAAAGTTCTGTCCACAGATTACAAGAAGGTAAGTGTTCTTTCAGCCAAACGAAAACAAATCACATAGGGATGTGTGTGAATTGATTTCGTTTTGCGGAAAGAATGCACACCTTCTTCTGTGATCCGTGGAAAGAACTTGAAAACGGTGGTTGTGTTTAAACTCTGTAACTTGAAAAGTACATGAGTGATTTGAATGATTCTTGTACTAAAAGACAGCTTATGAATTGGGCTTTCATATCCTAGATTTGCAAAGTGCTACATGCAGAACTTCACTAAAACAATAGTCCTGACATTTGGGTTTCGCTTTTTTGACTCGCCCTGTATATTCTTGCATGGAATAATTACGGTCTTACTGAAGTCTTCATTTTCATTAAGGGGTTTTCAATTAATCAAACTGAATTACTGCAAATGCTAGTTTCTACAGGTTTATTTATTATTATTATTAATCATTTCTGGTAATGAAACCAGTGTTTCCTCAAAATCGCCCTAGGCACTGTAGCTCGCAAGCCTAAAGAAACCTGTGGAGAGAAGACAATGAGAAGAAATTACAGTTTTAGAGGTGGGGAAAACCCACGGACTATCAGGTTGTGATAACTATAGACTTGCGTTGGAGTTGTCATTGGCCTGTGATAGACTTGTGATGGTCTTGTGATAGATTTGTCTTGAAGTGCTGCGTGCTCTGCAAACTTGCAGATTTTGTCAGAATGTTTTTTGTCCTTTTCTTTTCAGTTGTTGTGATAGTCTTTGACATGACCAACATGTACTCGTGGGAAAATGTGAGCAGTTGGTATGAAGAGGCTAGGAGGCAAACTGGCGGGCCAGTTCACCTCTTTCTTGTCGGGTCCAAAAAAGATCTCTGCGTGAGTAGCACTTGCGTCTCTGCGTCAATAACATTTGTTGCCAACAGAATATCCTTTTCTTTGTGCAAGTGCAGTGACTTGCCTTATTTTTGGTCAAATGCAGGCTCTGTTCGCGCTACCGCTATTTTTCCATCATTTCACATGTTAAATGTTGACAAGTCACGTTGCAAAATTGTTCCATATAAAAGCTCAAAATTTAGGCTTTAGTTGCGACAAACCCTTGGTCAGCTCAGCAAAGTGAGTGTTTAGCAGTAGTTTTGGAGTGATTTGAAGCCTGTAATTGTGGATTTTCTGTATGAAAGTTTTACATGTTTTAATATGTTCATGTACATAAATGAACATGCATTATCTTTGCCATTATTCTTGTTACATGCTCAAGATCCTTGTGTGCAAGGGCTTTAGGGGTTTGCAGTTACTGATAAGTCATTGTTAAGGATATGTAAGTTGCATTATACATGTAGTTTATTAGAGATTAGTGTGACGTTGTGAGGTGCATGTCAGTACATGTATTAAGTGGTATTAATTTTCCTTTTCTATTTCAGTCGAACAACTATTGTGACACCATCACACCACCATTATTATCATTGCGATGCCATCTTGAGACGCCATTATCACCATTCTGAAGACGCCACTATGACACCTCAACTCACGTCACCTCAAATTACTGCCATACTGTGAGGCCTTGCTTGACGATATCACTGTGTGACACCATAATTGTCACCCAACTGTCACCGCAACTTTTCGTCACATGACATAGTAATCACCGTCGCCTTATTTCCGTCAACCAATAATAGTTACACATATAACTGTTATGTGTCACCTCTACTCCGTCAATTAACTCATTGTCACTACCGTCAAGTCATCTGAATCGAGTATTACAGTCGGAACTTGGTCATCAAATTCTTCATTTCAAGCCACATCAGTCAGATTAGGCCTATTTGTTTTGACGTTTGATCAACAAGATTAAAGATATAGTCCATTATTTGTAATTTGTGCATTTTGTTCGTATGAAGCAACAAAAGTGTTCAAAATCTAATGAAGGATACTGAACAACTAACTGGATGAAGTTTCAGCTCAGCTTCAGCTGTATATTCCGAAAAAAACAGTATTCTAGGATCTCAATTTCAAATCAAAAGTTGCTGAATCATGTTTTGAATTGCTTTGAATTGCAGCTATACGCGATGTTGCGCACTGATCCGACGAATTGTAGCAACCGCGCGCGCCTGTGCGTCGTGCCAATGCTGGCGCGCGCTGCGCCGAATAACAAAACGAACTACTAATTTAAATGTTCCTACGGTGCGTCTTAAGATGCACCGTTGGAAAGGCCTTCTTTCGTTGATTACTTCAAAATGACAGCTTGCCAGAAAGAATAAACTCACATGGAGGTTAGTCCACTTACTATCTTTCAAGCAAGTATGTTTTTCAACAATAATTATGCCAGTTACTTTTTCGGATGGCTGCAAATGATGGACTATAGCTTTAAAGAACAGTTGAACAGTTTTATTGGTGCGTCTCTTGCGCTGAACTTTATTGGCATCATAACCTACGACAATCTGTAGCAGTACAGGCTACATCGACATTATAGATATAACAAAGGAGCATTTCCTGCAACATGTAAAGCTTATGCTGGGTTTGTGTTGTCGAGATAGAACAAGGTATTAGATATGCAAGTGATGGACCAATCAGAAAATGGGAAAACCACATCCGCTTAAGGAAATATAAATGGCGAGCTGTACGGCCCAACGTTTCCAGTCTATGAAACTTTACTTCTTTATTTTCACTGTGCGAAAAAGGTTGCTAAAAAAAATTTAACAAACTTTTCCCCCCATTTTTTCCGCCCTTTTTTAGACCGAGCAACAACTTGTCAAGGCGAACGAGTTGGGTAAAAGAATGGCCCAACAAATAGAAGCTGAATACTGGGCACTCTCCTCATTGACAGGTTGGTGAAAATACTTCCCTCCCATGAAACGATGTTGATGCCCCGCCCCCCCCCCCCCCAAAAAAAACACCCTCTGAATAACCCCTTTAACCCTAGACCCTGGGTTGTTTCTTGAATGTGTTCCTTGGAGGGGTGACCGCTGCCTCAATACTGCAAAATCCTCTGACAAATACTGTCAATATGTTGAGGCAGAGCCAGTGACATCCTACAGCAGTGCGGAGGATTTCAAGAATAATCTAGGCCTCAATTTATGCACGGCTGAGCACTAATAACCTGCGGTCCGGCCTAAGACCTTGACACAGTGAATCGTACAAAATCAGCCCCATATGATTTTGTCATACAGCCTCGGCAATCATTTTAAATCCTCCACTTATGCAAGGAGGATTTCGGAAGGTGCTTTCCCAATGCTTTGTACTCTTATCATAAATCTGTTTGAATAGCGCCACCAACTGTTCCTGCACAGAGCTAATGATTCTTACCATTCTCCTTAAGTATTATTTCCATATAGTCCTTACCATTTTCAAGACATCAGTGACAAGTTGCCAAATAGCATCCCTACCATTCATGCACAAATTCAATATCACTCATCATTCTAATGTAATGATTTTAAATCCTTACAAACCAAGGTGAGGATGTCAATGCCTTTTTCTTTCGTGTGGTGTGTGTTGCGTTCAACGCTGCAGTCAGCAGGGAAGTTGAAGCCAGGGAACTGGAGTCGAAGAAAATATCGATGCCCAGCGAACGTAGTCTCATTAGTAAGTCACTCCTTTGTCCTCTTAACTAGTCTCCACTAAGCATTTACCTCTTCTTGGTGGCGTTTTTTTTTCCCACGGCGATGGCATGTTTATTTTCACGGCAGTGTGAACACGCCGTGGGCTTGAGCTGCTTGTTGGTGGGTTTGTTGGTGGACGCTTTACTCGGCCATATATTGTATTCATACAACTCAAGTATTACAGCTTTGCAAGTATTACTGCTTTGCATTTGAAGGCCGGTTTTGCAAACGCTGTTGTGCATGCGTCTAATTTGCATACTGTTTGCATATTAGATCACGCCCCATTCCTTCTTGTTTTCTGTACTCTCGAGGTACCGGTACTGCCTGGGTGCACAGATGGTGCCGTATAGCCGTCTTCACACGTTACCCTGCCTCGCTGCTACCTGGCCGCCGTGGGGTTGTACCAATTGGTACTTGTTTTACAGAAATCTTGGGCGAGTTCGATCAAGGGTCGTTAGCCGTCGTGGCGTTGATTTGTGACGTATGTCGAACCTACTTACTAATGGTGAAATGTCCTTAGTCCAACACTAGTCAATTGATCTTTATCACAATAACACCTTGGTCCTGGCTCTCGGTTAACTTATTATGATGCCAGCGGCTATTGGTAACCAACAATGTAAAGCCTTGGCTTGTCCAGAAACGTCTACTTGGCGAGTCCAACAATAGCCGTCTGGCCTTAAGTAAAGTTAGTTGCACTGTAATTCACTGTAGTTTGCACCTAGTTTATCAATAAATTCGACACAACTTGAAGGTGGCCAGGCCTGTAAATAGAACTCGGAACAGGCTGCCTTTGTTTACACTTATTTCAACCCATATGCACTCGACATCATCTATTTCGAGATCCTCCGGACGAATGAAACTGCTTTGGATATACATGTACATGGCAACCCCACCACCTATGTCGGTTCCTGTCTTTTCTAACAATGGAATAATTGGGTGGGGCGATAAAACGGATTTCTAGACATTCATATTTGAAAACGGTCAAATATATATATTATGCTTCTTACGTACATTAACGAATGAGAAACCATCGGAGCTTTGATCGTAGATAACATCTGCTAAGTTTATTGTAGATCCTTGTTCTGTGGATTGAGTATCTCTCTGACCGTTTGGAGGTATTGGTTCCGATCTTGGCCTCGATAGAGTGTTGATGAAGCAGTTGAGCATGTTCAAAGGTTCTTTGCTTTTTTATGGTTTCACCCTTGTAATGGCTTCTAATTGAAGTTGCTGACTTAGTCTATAGATTATAGTGTACGTGCATTACATACAGCCCGAGAACAGCAATATATGAAGAGAACAACAGATTCTATGTCATGTTTGTTGTCTTGGAACGTACCAGTACATCTTTTGTTGAGATCAGTCCTCGGACGTACATGTAAGTCTGTGTGTTAGTCAGTGGGAGAGTGCTGTGTAGTAGGAACAATGCAGCGCCCTCAGATGTAATGGTAAAGTATGAATGTGTGTGCTAGTTTGTGTTCTAAGTTTGACGCATTGTACCTTCTATATTTTTGATTTCAGAACTGAATGAACCTCCAGATTTTCAGGAAAACCCCCCAAAAGATCCACGTGCCGCTGCTAGCAATGTAAAAATTTATCATGTGAGTATTCCTTTACACCAGTGTTGAATTTCTCATTGATATTCTGTGGATCTTTATAAACTTGAACCGTCCAAAATTTGCTGAAATAATGCCAGCTTTTGCCAGAACTTTATGAATTCCAAATTTGGTATGGATACGACCGTAGTGTGTTGATATCAGCTTGTACATATCTGATTGCAAATGCACAAAACCAGACCCAATGGTCAAATTAAATGTGCATAAATAATAATGAGTTCATGTTAAACTGTTTAGTACAAGAACTTGCATGCCAGACATGGTTTTGTTTGTGCATGAATAAAAAGTTGTTCACTTCTGCCACACGAGGTCGCTGTTGAGTACAAAAGCTGCTAGAGTACTCGTACCGTACCCACCGCCCTGGGAGCTGGGAAGGGCTAATCTCCTTCACACAACTTTCTGAAGGAAGCACAGGCGCGCAAAGCATTGTGGGGCGCAAACTGCTGCAACCGATACACGTACATTCTGTGCGCATGTGTCATGGGTGCAGGCTGAAAACTTGACCCATGTTTATGTTCAAAACAAATTCTATTGAATGAGGGCTGAAAAGACATTATGTCATACATGCAGAAGAAATTATTAGCCCTTCCCAGCGCCCAGTTCGGTGGTGGACCGCTGGATACGAGCCAACCAGTATACTTGAAAAATACCAGCCATGTTTTTCAACATCATTTGCAGCACTGTTTGAAGGAACAGTGTATGCATTTTGTATTTTGTTTTCCAATCCTATACTAACATTTACCAAATGCTTTAATATTGAAACCGTATAAAGTTTAAAATTTACTTTTCAATACCTATTTTGTAGCCAACAGAAAAGGGATTTGAGTTAACTAAGACCATTTAAATCTCTGGACAAATGCCTCATGTTTTGTGTGCAGTTCGTCTTTATGTACTACTTACCACCAAAGATTTTAATGTTGATTGTTTTGTTTGTCTTAAAATTATAATTTTTCTAAAAAGTAGTGTGCTCTATAATTTGTGCTGAAATATTTTTTTATGGTTTTAAATTGTTTTTGATGCATTATAATTTATGTAAATTTTAACAATTGTATTTCAAAATAAATACACCTAAGTTTGGGACCAATGAAAGGTGCTTGTTCCGAACCAACAAACCCTACAGTGAGGATATCCATAAATAAGTTTTTTTTTCTGTTGAGTTCTATGTTGATTCTTCTGGCTTCTCACTTCTTGCATTCTGTTGAATTCAGCAACATATAATCGGATTAGATGCATCAGGCAATAGGATTTAATTTAAAGATGATACAGGTGTGCTTTTTTGCTGAATCCAACAAAATTCAACAATGCCGTTAATAGGGCTGTTTGCATCGGAACCAGGTACCCGAATTCCCGACCGTTAATGTCAGGAAAGTGTTCAGGTTAAGGAATGGAGTATCCATAATCAACTTAGCGAATTACTTAGTTACTTATCCGTCAATAATGAAAAAGAAATGTTTCAAATGTCGGTGGGAAAATTTCAAAATGAAAAACAAGATACATGGGAAAATCCAAACCAATTTCACATCTTATGATGCTGGTGAAAGTTGCAGTTTTCACCACGTAGCTAAAGAGCTCACTGTATACACCCTGTCCAGCCGTGTAGCCGCACCGATGTGGTAGTATAGTATTATCGTGCCGACCTTTATGAACGATCTGAACAGCAACTTCCCATATTTGAGTTTTTGGCTTGGGTTTCTTTAACGGGTACCTGGGTATCCGTATTTTTTATCAAAAGGGTACCCGGTTCCTGTGCTACATGTATATGCACAACCCTAACCGTTAACATAACATTCGTTTTCTGTTGACTTTTGTTTGATTGCGTTGTTGGGATAATAATTACCTTTCAAAATGCTTTACCTTTCGTTAGTGTTTTGTTTGCTTCTTTTTTGAAAGTTTACAAGACGCATATGAACATGTTTTTAGATCCCAGATTAACCAGATTTTGAGGTCTTCTATTTGGCATCATATAATTTCATATACACTGTATATTCAGCAAAGTTTTGAGAATTCCAAAACTGATCTTTAAAAAACATGTCCAAAAGTAGGACTTTGAGTTTTAAAGGAGGGTATTTGTGTTATATATTTTTCTTCTCAAGTTGAAAATAGCAGGAGCGTGCCTGTGTAGCTAATTTTATTGTTAACATTTTATTGAACAGTTGAAATTATTTTGTCAGGTGCAGATTTAAGTTAGTGTTCATTTGAGCGGCAGAGCACTTAACACGAATACATTTTGTCAATTGGCTTTTTCGTTGAACTGAAATATAGGTGTGAAATATGCCTGAAGCCAAAAAGTTATGATAATAATCAGAGATTTGCAGCTTTGCCACTCCGCCTAATAATGCCGGCTAAAGCCGCGATGGCTTTCGCGTACGGACGTATGGATATGACGAATGCCTTGATTAAGGCTATTAGAGGGCGCACTATGCACCATCCACTAACAACCACTAGCATCTTGGGCCAAGACTACGAAGTGACCCAACAACACCCCAATACATGTACACGTACGTGTTCTGCATTGGGTAGCCTTGGTCAAGGCGTTCGTCTACCAGGTGTCTTGCCAAAAGCCTTCCGGTGCCAAATAGTGTCTGCTAATTGGCATAATGTGATCTGATTGGTCATGCTTCTATGACGTCACATTGTTTACGGAAGCTTGCCAAATAGTGTCCACGCTTTGCGTGCATTACTTTATTATCTGTGATTACTTAAGATTTGTAGAATTATGTTGACTATAACTTTCCCTAATAGTTCAAACGTATATTTGTGCAAAATCTTTGTGTGTTTTTTTTTGTCACTTGAAAACCGCACGTGCAGTACGTACAAACGTCATGCAGACCTACGTACTTTTATAGGCCTATAAAAGCTATGTAGCATTATAGGTAATGTTATATTTCACGTGTTTATGTGTTTGAACATATTATTGACATAAAACTAATTGAAATAAAACATAAAAATACATAAAACTGGGTATCTAAAGGAAAAAAAAAACATTCCTGTAATTGCCTGCCATAATTTTGTGGTGACAGTGTCAGTCAATTGAGGGCACTATTTAAGTTTAACGGTCAAACCTGTTTGGCAGGTTTGGTTTGGGTGTTAAATATAAGAAAAGTTGTTTCGCGCATAATTAGCTGTTTCCATCGGTGTCGGGGAACAATGGGGCACTTCCCTCCCCCCCCCCCAAAAAAAGCAAAAACTAAAAGCAAGGGAGGAAAAAAAGAACAAAAAGAAAGCAACCCAGGGGCGCGTGCATCCGGGTAGTTCCATGCTTGCCCTAAAAGGCTGATGATTAGTTGGAATTTTGCTACCCTTTTGGGGTAGCAAAAATAGAGATTATAAAGAAAAACATAAGAAATTCTTACATTTTTTCATTTACATTTATTCCATTTTTCGGGATACATTTGTTACAACAGTTACAAACAATAACATTAAATTCTCAGAAATACACAAGAACATTTTAGACAAAACATACACAATTTCATATTTATAATTTAACCAGCTCCCGCTGGATCACCAAAAAGAAACATGCTTTCTGTCGAGGGCCGGTGCTCTCCAACTGATTATAATATGACAAACTAAAACAATGTTAATGAATAATGAATTATAACTACGTAAAACTATAGGAAATAAAACAATAAAGGTCCTTAAATGAATAAAACTATGTATTAAACAAAGCACTGCATTGTGTTTTATATTGGTATGTATACTGTATAAATGAGAAAACATGAAATAATTCGTTATAATTTAGGCCAAAAAAGGGCTACTTATGAATGAATATATTAATAATCAAATTGGACAGTTTGACAAGTTGTAAAAGGCATCCTGGCTTCGCCACTCGCGTGTGTGGTCTTCCGCTCCAGTCTCTTCCACATGATGGCCACTGAGAAACGACCCTTCGACCGGCGACCGCGGACCAGTAAGCTGACACCGGCGTGACATGGCGCATAATGATAATCTAAAATGCGTATTAACACCCACTGCACTGCTCGCTCACACCACGGAACACGTATTATAGACAGGTGGTCAAACTTTTTACTCCATTCATATAAGCTAAATAATAATAATAGACCAATTAAAATTCCTTGAAATCAGTGGCGTAGCCATGGGGGGGGGGGGGGGGGGGCAGCATGAAACCTTGTCGCCCCCCCCCCAACCGAGATTTTGAGTTTCTAAAAAAATTATCATTGATCTACATGACGCCATGGGCGTCAATCCTGGGGGGACAGGGGGACTGGTGGTCCCCCCCCCCCCCCCACACACTTTTTGAAGGGTGGGGGACACAATATCAAATGTCCCCCCCCCCCAGATTTTTGAACTCGTGTCTCATTTACAGGGCCCTATTATGTACTACAATGTATCTTTTGCTTAGAAAATATTGGTTACTGTGGTCAGAAATTGCCTCGGAGCATTTAGAATCCAAAATTTTTCGGGGCCCTTAAGCGGGCCCCGAACCCCACGCCTATAGCTCAGAATTCTGGTAGCTGATTCAATGATTCCAAACTCGAAAACAATGTTCAAAAAATGTTCTTATGCCTTTAGCTGAGAAAACCTCGAAAATTATGTTTAAATTATTATCTTTTGTGCTAAGATAATTATTGATAAAGTGGTAAGAAATTGCCTCAGATCACACCACAGAGCATCGAGAATCCAATTTTTTTCGGGGCCCTTAAGCGGGCCCCGAACCCCACGCCCATATATAGCTCAGAATATCGATAGCTCGATTCAATGACTCCAACCTCGAAAACGATGTTCAAATATTAATTATCCTTTGCTAAGAAAATATTAGCTAAAGCATGGAGGAAAGTGGTAAGAAATTGCTTCAGATTACACCACAGAACATCTAGAATCCAATTTTTTTCGGGGCCCTTAAGCGGGCCCCGAACCCCCACGCCGTAAGGGCTTCGCGCTTCGCGCTCGGATCAGTTCTGATCAAGGTATGTCACACCCCACACTTTTGAGAAGCGATTGACGCCCCTACATGACGCCCCCCCCCCCCCCCCCCCATGAAATGTTCCAGCCCCCAAGCCCCCCAGTAAAAAATTCCTGGCTTCGCCACTGCGTACATATACGCCGCGCCCTATGCTCGAGTCGTTTTTGGCACAGAGCTGTATTAGAACTATGATTTGGCACCAAAATAGCGTCTGGCGCCACTGCGCATGCTCAAGGGACATGAGCACGTGATCGATAGTACGAGTCAAAGTGCAGACATTTTGCTGCAATGGCTGCCGCAAACAGGGCTCTGCGGGAGGACCGAATAATACAACATTTTACTCAAGTAAGTGTAAGTTAAAGAGAATGAAATGACAAATAGGCCTAGGTCTAGAGCTTAAAAAAACAACACAATCTTTTTCCCAACAAAACGTAGAGTTAGACGTATATTGTTGGCTTTACGACAATCATCCACCATTAGTCAAATGTTACCAAATTACAAAGCGAAATCTATTTGTGGCGCGGCGACAAGCGGGGAATTCCAAAGCGTCCAGTTCTGGCGGTGTAGAAAACTTCCTGCCTAATTCTTCGCAGTGGACGGTTCATGGAAACTCTGTGCTATCGGGGCCATGTCGTCAGACCCCCTTAAAATTTAAATGACGAGGATATGTTTTGAGGCACTCGCATTCATTTCGCGTTGGACAACGCGCGCCGCGTTGCAAGAAAGCTTTATCTGCGTCAATTATAATGATTGAGGAAACATTTTTTTTCTGGTTTTCTTAACATATTGTGTGTCAACCAAAACAGGGTAAAAAATTTAAATGTCAAATCGTTACATGTCTTAATGCAAAATGGTGATATTCACTTTACCAACTACTTTAACAACGAATGTTAATGTTTAGAGCATGGTTCAGAGATTATTTATGCCAAGTTTTGAGTTTCTATCACAAAGAAAATCATTTTTACATTGCTTAAAGTCAAAAATAGTAAGAAAAACACTGTGTTCCACCATTTAAAGTTTTTGTTAGGTATGGAAGAATGGGATTTTTTGGGTCAAACTCATTGCATGTAAACAATGGATGATAGTACAAAATAGTTACATGAAAAAAAATTTGGAAAAAAATATATTGGCACATAATTTTCATACCCTGTTATGTTTCGGACGTTACACTATGTTATATTAACATCTCACAGAGTTGCCACTTTCAGGTTCTAACCTGAATTCAGGTTTCCTTTTAAAAATGTGACAAATTAAAAGTGCTGGATTTGGTCTGAAACATCAAGAAAACACATTTTTGAAAGGGGGCTAGGGTAGTTACAGGTTTTTTAGTTTGTGTTTCAGGCTTTTGATTGATACATTAGTGGCATTTCTGATCTCACCTTTTCTCACATTTTATGGCTTTGCTTTAGTATCATTTAACTTATTAACATTTATGCAAACTCTGTCTTCAAATAGCCACTGACATAGTTCAGAGTAGTAAAGTTGGGTTTTGGCATCAAATGCATGATATTTTATATTTTTAAATTGAATAAAATAATTCAAATATTTTTCTTCATAAGAAAAAAAAAGAAAAATCAAAAACTATTATGTAATAAAAAAAGCATGAAAAATGACAATTTTATGTTAACAATATCATTGTGTAACGTCTGAAAAAAATTTCCTGTGCTACGAGAAATTTGTTGGATGTCAATTATCTAATTATGCCCCGCCGACAAAGCCGAAGGGGCTTACTGTTTCTGCCTTGTCCGTCCGTGTGCATTTGGTTCCACAGCGATATCTGGATTGTATGTCCAGATTGTATGTATGTCTTGAACCTTGATACAATGAAGGTAGCTTGCTAGTATAACTTATAAGTTTGGATATGCCATAAGACAAAGGCCAAGGTCATTAGGATTAAAACAATAGGATTTTATTATATTTTATTTTTAACAATTTAAAAAAAAAAAATTTCCAAACCAGTATATGTTGCTTGCTAGTAAACCTTATAAGTTTAGACACCATAAGACAAAGGCCAAGATCATTAGGATTAAAACAATAGGATTTTTTTGTATTTTTATTTTTGTTTATTTTTTTTTTCTTCTTTTTTTACAAAACCAGTATGCATGTGCAAATGTAATCACTCACTGGAATATTAGGGGGCCTATACACTGTTTATACATGTTTTTTGTATAAACATTGTGGCTTCTCCACCCTTTTTTCTTGGAAAGTCACTTTTTTAATTGAAACAACAGAAAACAAACACATGTATGTGTACATGTATTACTAAAACTTGAGAGACTTGCACCGTGGCTTCATGTACATGTACATGTTCATGTTTATGCAGCTCTGTAGGTTGTTCTTAGGATTTTGAGTCACTTTAGGACCCCATAGGCCAACTGTTCTTATTATTTAAAGGCAAGGAAATGATGTCATAATGATAAATCAAGCTTATTCAAATAACCATATTTTCTTTTGATTATTTGAGAATTCTTATTTTCATGCAGGCCTTGTAAATGCTCAAAGGATTATGCTAAAAGGATTTGCCTTTGAGAAATGTCTTGCTTAAGACTGAAAATATCCAGTCAGTTTGCTTTTAAAAATCGCATACAATGACTTCCCAACAGAGAAGCAAAAACCAAAAGTTAATTATGGGATCATTGGCATCAGTATGTTACATATATAGCCTAAAGAAAACAATAACGATGTCAATGAAGGTTCCATGTGACCCAAGTAAGTTGATGTTAATAGCGTGGTGTTATGTCATGGAGATAGGCATGGTTGCGGGGCATTTGTGTTTTTTAACACTGCTTTTCTTGTTTTTGTACCGGTATATAGATTTGTTTTAAAAATAACAGTGTTTTTTTTCATGATGATTGATTCACTTCAGTTCAAGTTACCCTCTATTTTGAGTTATTAGCTGAGAAATGGTATATTTTGTTTCGGATGTTACATTCGTTTTGGATGTTACAACTGTTAACGAAAAATTTGTTTTTGTGATATGATGATAATGTAATTTATAGTTAGATATTGCATTAATTTATGCTGTGATGCGAAACTGTCTTGAGTTTCTTCCAAAATGAAATAATGCAATTCCTTATATTCTCAGACTTCAAAATTAACATTGTTTCGGACGTTACAAAATTGTTTATGGAAAGTGAAATAACTTGTTCATTTGATGAACAAAGCTTTAAACAACATCTCTGCAATAAAAGAATGTGATTTTCCTTTTTAGGCTTTGGAATGGTTTAACCAGTAATTGTATTTTAATACTGATATCACTAGGGCCTAATTTAATTGCAGTCCTAGTGTGTTAAATGAGGGGTAAGATTGTTTAATTTACGGAAGATGTAATGTCTGAAATACCATTTCCAATTGCACTATTCCCTAAAAATAGTAAAGATAGTTTGGATTACTACGCGCTGTCTTAAAATTCCACTCATAGTCTCATACTCGTTCATTATATATAGAAAATACAATTGTTGTTTCTGTTTTTTTTTTTTTATCCATCCAAAACAAAATTGTGTCTTGTTTTGGTTGACAAACTTCCGTTAATATTTGGCTGTTAAGCAATACGTCACAAACATAAACTAAAGTTGGAGAATTTTCATTAAGCTATGGGAGATCAATCTAGGTGCATGCTACAAAAAAAAATGAAGACTAATTTCCAGTTCTGTATCTTTACAAAATGTGAGGCTCTCAAAGTGCTATTAAGCTATTTGGTATATGTTAAAAAACCAGAGCCACAAACGAGTTAGACTCCTTGGTTTTAGGAAAATATATTTCTTTGAGCTTTTCAAACATATTTTCTTTGTTTTTTCTTTCTTTTTTTTCAATGCCAAACACTTTTCGTAATTTCAAGATTAATTTCCATAGAAAATGGTTGAATGTTAATAGATAAATGTTAAAATGCAAATGCCTATATTTACATTACATGCCATTTGCATACATGTGATACATATTTACCTATAATGTAGATCCCAGTTTATATTGTTATTCTGATCATCCCAATCCGTGGAGACAACTGTCAAGATGTCAGATTTAAATGAGAAATTATGAGATATTTAATTTTCCAAAAATGGTTCATTCAAGAGAATTCCAGCAGATTTTGAAAAGAGAAAAAAACGTAAATGATTTTGAAATTTTGTCTGCAGCGCAATGGCACGAACCAGCCATCAAAACCATGCTGTACAAAATATCCCACAACCTCATTGCAATGAACAAATATCAGTACCTGACCTCCATGACAGATTCCCAGACTTAGAAACTACCATCCAGCAAGATATCAGCTTCTCACAGCCCATTCCTCCAAGGATATCTGCAGTCTGGCTCTGGAATGCCCTTCCTGCAGACGTCATCGCAGCTCCATCAGTGGACGCGTCTTCAGGGCACACATCTCTGCCAAGTAGCTCCAACATTGGATTTGTTTTTTTTTTACTTGCACTTAAATTTTCTTCTGCACAACTTCCCCCTGATTCACATGCACCTTAAGCTTCACCTCAGCGTTAACATCCAGAAGTGGACATTGCTGAGTGCCTGCGTAGATGTAGATGTGAGGTAACTCCAGTTAGGTGTGAACTGTGAATAAATTCACATTAATGTATGGACAATTAGTCTTTCATATGGAAGAGTTTTATTTTTTTTAATTCATTTATTTGACAGTCAATGTACAGAGAACGCGACTTCAGTGGGGCAGTTCGAAATGCTTGCAAAACAGGAAAAGTTGGGTAAGTCAGATAAATCATAGTGAGATATATTGCAGAACATCTGTTAAGAACTCGATGAAGGGCATTGTCTGTGACTGTGCCTATATTTTTTCCCCATCCCTGGGCACTTTTTGTCTCTTAGTCAAAATCACTCAAGTGATCCACAAAACGATTCACCAAGTTGACTAAGCAGCCATATGGTTGCGAAGGCAAAGCGTCAGGCGTTGTCAGGGAAAGCTAATCCGATTACGTACTAAGACGCTGTAACAGAGCATTGAAATTCGTGAGCCCCCAAATATTGGCTTTTTGAGCTTTGTGTTTCTCAGAAAGTATGCTCGGTAAGATTGAAATGTTACATTCTAATTGAAGAAGAAATTCTAAACTTCATGTCGGTGAAAAAATCGCCGTCATCGATGCCGAAACCTCGATACTGGTTACTGTCAAAGCTGACCTTTAAGTCTGAAGAAATCGTTTGAAAACTTACCCAAATGTATGTATTTATCATTATTTCTAGGAATTTATCCCAGTTGTTATTTCACAAGTAGTTGAACATATCATCTTAGTATATTCTGAATTTCAGCTTAATCTGTTGTTGCAGACGCTAATGTTACAGCTTGAATCATCTCCATGGAAAATTTTTAAGAGGATCGAAAACATTATCAGTTGCCCGACCCAACCCATGTGCATTGTTCAGCAAAGCGCCGTAGGACAAACACTTTGAACATCTGATATGTACCTTTTTTCAATAGAAAGGATACATCTTCTCACTATAATTTGTGTAAAAAAATTAAACCTCAACTCCAGTCCACTTGTTTTCTTTTCAAAATAAGATATTTTGGAAGTGTAGGTTTTTTGTCACACTTCTCCTCATCTTTTATGCCGGACGCCATAACATTTACAGAATTTGTGTATGAAAGTTTCTTTTGAATATCATCTGCTTGGTATCATTTAAAAGCTTATCTTATAGCCTTATTGGCAAATGACATTTGTTTTAGAAAGAACCATTCCATAACAAAGAAAAACTATTTTATAATCAGAACTCTGAAAATTATGGCCTGTTCCTTAACTCGTGGAATGACCCTTACATTTTGCACAGCCTTACCGCTGACATGTTCATGTTTGTACATGATTTTTTTCCCACTGGATTTTAGAGAAACAAAGTTTTTTTTTAGGGTTATCAAATTGACATTGAAAATATTCTGATGTTTATTTTATTAATTTAGGGAGAAGAAGTTGAAAGTGATAGTGGTTGGTAGTTCTTCTGTTGGCAAAACAGCCCTCGTCGACCGGTGCTGCAACAGGCAGTTCCACTCGAACACTGCATTAACAGTGGGCATGGACGTCCACTTGGAAAGATTTTGTATTCTCGGCGTTCCCTTCACTTTGGAAATGTGAGTTGTTTGTAGGCACCATCAAACATTTTAGCAACGTTGTGCTGGATTATTGTCCAAAATTATTAAAAATTTTCTACACTTCACAAAAACATCACTTGGTGCCACGTGCTTTCTGAAAGTCTGTCTGCCATTAAATGGAGCAGCTAAAAGGAGTGTCATTGTGATAGTCTTGTGAAATTGTTAGACCAAAACAGGTTACCTATACCTACCTACCCTATTTTGACAGCCCTACCCTAATTTTTGGGGCGAAATATGAGGGGGAAAAGCCGACAACCATCAATTACAACCTTACATACAAGGCGAGTCAAAAAAGCGGAACGCAAACCCCCAAAATTATATTTCATATTTAAAAAAACATGTAGCACCAAAAATTATAATGACTGGAAAGTCAATTTCATAAGCTACTGTTAGATGACAAAAAATTACTGAAATTGCTCAATCCATTCAAAGAATATCACCATTGAAACACAATGACCCTAAAACCTCTTTCGTCCAAAAATGCGATTTCAAGAATCGTCGTCCCCATTGTCTTCAAACATCACCAGAGATACAACCTCAGTTTAAGAGTTAAAAATATCCAACATAGTCCTTTTGAAGGCCCATCTTTTAAAAATAGTGGATTTTATAAATCATATTGTTTGCCTAACCAAGGTTGTTCAAAAGGATATGTTGTACTGTAGTTGACAGTTGTTGAAACAAATTTCATTGTTGTTCCAAACAATCAGAATACACACATTGCTTTTTTGTTGTTGCACGTAACAGGTTTTAGGGTCATTGCGTTTGAATGGTGATATTCTTTGAACTGATTTGGCAATTTCAGTAATCTTTTCATCTAAAAGAAGTTTAATATGAAATTGGCTTATTATATTTGGTGCTACATATTTTTTCCGATATGAAATATATATATTTTGTTGGGTCTTACTTGTGAGCTGGACAATTATCAGCATCCAGACTCCAGTCTTAAACATGCCGGTAGCATTTAACATCTCCAAAGCACACATTTATTCCCATATTAAATTGCAATAGACTTGTGATTGAGTTGTGATGGAATGATGAATAATTTCTAATGATCATATAATTGACTTGTATTTATTACTTGTGTTTTGCATGTGATTGACTTGTGACTAAATTTGATTACTTGATAGAAGCTTTTTTTCTTACAAAAAAAACCCCCATAATTCATGAGTAATGTCTGCTTTCCACCCTAACCAAGCCTTTTTTGTAATTTCATTGCATAGATGGGACACAGCAGGTCAAGAGAAACACCGATGTATAACCGCATCCTACTACAAAAATGCATGTGGTAAAAAAATATGAGTTACACAAAGAAAACCGAACACCAATTCAGAGCAATACTTAAAGATCTAAAGGGCAGTTTCACAGAAAAGGTTAAAAAATAGTCTCACAGGGGGTCTAAAATGAAACTTGTATCTATAAAACATGTTTATTTATTGAAAGCTACAAAGGTACTAGAAAATTTTATTGTCAAGGCTTAAAGGGAAGATACAACATTTGCAAACATCAAAAAACCCGAAATGGTCAAATTACCACGAAATACCTTACTAGATTGTAAGGGAATGACAGTCTAAAGCATTTTGTAAAATCGTGGCTCCATTTCAAGAAAAGTTGTAATTTTCCAAAAAACGCTCCTAATGTTTCATATTTAGTTATCCTGCATTTTCTTTGCAATTGATTACCTACCTATGAAGGGGTGCAAGCCTTGTAGACTGACTTTCTATGCCTTACGATTTCCCAAAGTCTATAAATTGCGCCGTTTCATCTTTAGTGAGTCAGGGACCCAGACTACAAGAGCATGATTGGTTTTCTTGGTTTTTCCAGCATCTACAAGCCCAAAACGTGGAACAAGTCAGTTTAACAATATTTGCTTTAACATAGTGAACCTCCAAATCTATTTTTTTAAATTGCACCAAAGGCAAATGTTGTTCATTCCCTGTAAATATTTTTTCGTTTCAATTTAAAGATATTTACACTTGCAGACCATAAATTGGTCAAATCGTCGCATATCTGACGAAGTGATGAATGGGCCATTTTGGTGTTTTTTTTATTAATTGAGTTTAAGGGTTAAATCAATTCGAATTTCAGATGTTTAGGTTTTTAATTCATGAAAACACTTCATTTTTGTAGTTCCGAAACCCACTAAGTGACGAATCGACTCAAGTTGGAAAAACTGTTTCTTGCGAACTGACAAATAAATTATTCGACACTTGGTCATATCAGAACAGCCCGCATCCAGTATCTGACTAAGTGACGAATAACCAGTTATTCATTGGTTATCCACACACTCGTCTTTATTATTGAATGGCCTATGAGGGAACCAGGGATCTTCTGTTTCGCGCGTTTTCCGTCAGCTTTCATAACAAACTAACGGCACTGCAACATTATAATGATGACTAAACAGAGATAACTGTAACTAATTCACCTTTATGTAATTTTGTGTGTGCGGAGTTGTAATTGTTAAAATGAATGGAGTATAGGCTAGGACTGCGCAACATATATAGGCTTATACAGACTGTGATTTATTTAAAACATGCGATATATTTTCCTTCAAAACCGCCGTTTTATAGGAATTCCACAATAGGCCTACTGTATTTCGAGATAATCTTAAAAACGGTTCCCTTTAAGCAGCTAATTAGAGCTGAAAACCTCATTTGAATCTGCCCACACTGACATGAAGTGCCCCCAAAGGGCTGAAAATTAGGATATGAATTTTAAATATATATATTTATTTAAAACGTGCGGTACACTTCCTTTCATAAACGGCATTTTATAGGAAAGCATTATTACTGCATTTCGACGGAGTCCCTTTAAGCAGCTAATTAGAGCAGAAGACCTTATTGGAATAAACCCATACTGAAATGAAATGCACCCAAGAAGGTGAAAATAAGGGTTATAAAATAAATATATTATTTATTCACAACATGTGCGGTACACGTTCTTTAAAAACTGCGTTCTATGGGAGACCCAAAATACTGCATTTGGAGATATTCTCGAAAATGGAGCCCCTTTAAGTGGCTCATTTGAGCACAAGACCTCATGGGAATAAGCCCATAATGAAAATGAAGTGTACCCAGGACAGTGATACTCAAGATGATGAAATAAAAATATGATTTATTTGTAGATTTTCTTTCAAAGACGGCATTTTTTTAGGAAACCCAAAATACTGCATTTCGAGATATTCTCAAAAACGGAGCCCCTTTAAGTGGCTAATAAGAGCAGAAAACCTCATTGAAATAAGCCTATACTGAAATAAAGTGTGCCCTGGAGAGTGATGATTAGGATAATGAAACAAAAATATTAATTATTTCAAACATGTGCGGTACTCTTTCTTTCAAACACGACGTTTTATAGGATACCCAAAATACTGCATTTCGAGAGACAAGTTTTGTATTCTCGAATAAATGAATGAATAGTGTTGTTCGTTGTTAGTTCGCATTCACATTTTTGTTTTCCTATTATTTTGTTGCGTCCATTTGAGATATTTTCCTTAATAATAACTTTTTTATTAGGCTAAATTGTATATTATTAAAAAATATTATAGCGAGTACTTGGATTTGAACGTGGGGTTTAAGTGTTACCATATTTTTTTCCTAAAAAATATAGAACATGTTTGTATTAAAAACATACACATTTGTTTGAAAATGCGCGTAGTGTTGTGAAGAAGTGACGAATATGCCATGGATTTGTGATGCAAAAATGCGCGCACAGTTAAAATAATATCTTATGAAGACATTTTTACGTGGCGAATAAGCACAATGACGTTTATTGCTATCTCGCGAAGTGAGGAATAAGTTTCACAGCAAAATTTAGACAAACCTTTACTCTTACGAGCAAAAAAAACAAAGTAATAGGTGTATTTTAACCAACAAATAACTACATTGCTTAAATTAAGAATGTAAAAAAGGGGAAAGTGGCATCAAAAATGGACACATAAAAAGTGTTCAACTTATTTAAAACTGTATTATCCAGTGACAAATTAATTAGTCAGCATGGTGCTTTTAACAAAATGGGATCTAAGGAATAGGCACATCAAGCCCAAAACAGTTTGAAGTATTTGTACACACGTATGCATGGAGAAAGTTGAATGTGTACATGTATCTGAGTTTGTTTCTGCATTCAGTGCACACACAGAAAGAACTGTTAAAACAGTGTATAACACATGTTGTTAAACTTGGAAAGTGTCCTTTCCTGAACGCTTAAATACACTCGTGCATATTTATCTTTCCAAGTCACACTTAAATCCAATATTTGTCAGGAATGGGCTGATTTACAGTTTCCAACCATCCCTTGCACAAAATACACGTATTAGTTTGAGTCAGTTTAATCACAATTTTAGTCTAGCTTATGTGTACTCATATTGTGTGTAAATACGAGTGAGTAAATGACCTGTAAGAACAAAACACTAACACTTTTTTGCCATTTAGTTGGTTTTAATTTTAAAACATAAAATCTACAGACAATATAAGCATATATATACTCCATCAAATTTCAGCAACAATGGCTTTGCCAAGTACATTTTGTACTCTGTTAAACTATATGTTCAGGAAAGGACAATGCAGTTTAACGACAAAGCCATGACAGCAAGCAGGGTTTGAGTCTAAATCTGTTTGTGGTCTGTTAAATCTGGTAAGTCTACCCCCAGGAAAAATATGCCCAACACGTTTTACACAGAGCTGAGTTGAAAGGGTTAATTACTTGAATTACAAATTTCAGGCATGGGTGATACGACTAGTGAATTTCAATAGTCGCAACTACTTTCAATAGTAGCAACTAGTCACGGTATTGGGACTAGTCACAGCATAACGAATTGTCGACTATTTTAAGAATTGATGGTTGCAACTCAAAACAGTTTTTAGCATTGGTGACTAGTCAACTTGTTGCACACGCCTACTTTTGATGGATTTGTGAATTAATGTGATTGACTTGTCTTGAGCTCTGCGCTCTACAAACTTGCAGATTTTGTAAATGTGTTTTTTTCTTTTGTTTTCAGTTGTTGTGATTGTTTTTGACATGAAAAACGCCAACCAGAACTCGTGGGAAAGTGTGATAGGTTGGCATACAGAGGTTATGAAGCATACCTGTAGCTGCGGAAAAGTTCATCTCTTTCTGGTCGGGACCAAAAAAGATCTTTGCGTGAGTTTGTCAAAATCTTTGGGATTATGTAATTTTGCTGGTTTCAGACGTACCCGTGATTTTATCCCCCTGGCTTTTAAGCCAGACAAAATTGCGATCTTGTATTCCTTCTGTGTGTATGGGTGTGCCAACCTTTGATGTGGACCAGACAGCGAAACAGGTTCACATTAAATGTAGGATGTGTGAACGTTATGTGGACTAAGCCAAGTCCACATGAGGTTTCGCCCTCTGTGGAAAACAGGTTTAGAGTCATTTAGGGGTAAGGGTCATTTGTCAAAAAAAAAATAGAGACACACTCAAGGAAATCAGGATAAAATATTTGGGTTGAAAGAGTTTTCACAGTGTTATTAGTAAAATATTATTTCACCGGTTTTCCTTAACTGTGTGAAAACAAAGAAATGTCTTCATAGGGTTATCCGGCCATCAAGGCGCTTCGGACCATCCCCTTGGGACATCACATCATGTAGGAAGGACCACAACATTCCATCGTCACGCAGTTCATTGCTGAACGCCACTCTGCGCCGTAAACTATTATCTGGGACAATCAACGCATTAGTCTTGCATCCGGTCGCCCCGTGTACAAAACGCATGTCAGTCTATCTGCTGCATTTGTCAACTGTTATTCTTGGGACAATTTTATTCAGGTTTCTCAAAATCGTTGTCAAAATATCACTACATTGTATATCTAAAGGTACCACATCCAAGTTCCTTGCTCTAAAGGCTGAATATATGTGTAAATTAAAGATTGATTCGGGTGACTTCGTCCCCTTAATCAACTTGATTTACCAATGATGTGGATTTTTTAACAACTGCCTAAAAAACTGGGCTTCTCCTACCTTATTTCAGTTCCACTTAAAGGGAAAACCTGAAAATACTTCTGTGTCCACACTGACAGTAAGACAAGCATGGATGAGCCTCTGCAAAAAATCTGAAATCTTAAAACTCATGCACTTTGGCTTGGCCTTCGGGGTCGTGATTCAGCACGTATGGCCCGGGCCATAGGGCTAGTATACAAAGCGCAGTGAGCGAATATCAAAACGCGTGCGGACGTGATAACAGCCCTAAACTTCTGATATACCGGTATTCTCTTACGCCCTCCATATGTCGCTAGCAGTGCAAATTTAGTAGATACTACCGCTAAGCTCTCCAGAGCTCCAGAGACCACGTAAATATCTGTGTTGAAAAGAATTTTTGTTTACATCAGCCTTCTCTCCACGGACTGGCGGTGATATTGTGGGTTTCAAGAAGACATTTTCCTTGTACGATAATTCTGTAGGTAAGGTTTAGTTTTGACTTATAGCTAGTGAATATTTAACTATGTTTTGTGGTTGGATTTAATTTTCTTCTTTTGCTGTAAGCACACGTTTCGAGTCGTTTGTGATTTGCTTGCAATATCTGGACCACCTGTCGGTTGTTTCAGTTGACAAAACATATGTATACATGTGCCAATACACACTGCTTCACGGCCCAATATTTTTTCGGTACCATACACATATAGATGTCACTAAAACAATTGTCGAGACAGCTTGCAAGGGGATCGGGCAAGTATTTCTTGCAGTATTTTTTTTGATTCGGGTACCTTATTCCCGTACTACCAATAAATGCACACCCCTGTCGTAGACTGGTAGAAGTAGACTTCTGCTTTATAGTTGATTCGAGTCAAAATTCCAGTGAGACCTTTTTTGCTTCTCAAATTATCTTCTTCATTAAGTTTATGCTGGGTTTGTGTTGTCGAAAACAAGGTATTAGATATGCAAGTGTTGGACCAATCAGAAGATGGGAAACCAAATCTGCTTCAGAAAAAAAAATGGCGAGCTGTACGGCCCAACGTTGCTCAAACTTTACTTCTTTAGTGTATAAAAAAGGTTGATTAAAACATTTGCAAACTTTCCCCACACCCATCTCCCCACCCCCTTTCGTGTTTCTTTTTAGACCGAGCAAGAAATTGTCGATGTGAACACGCGAGGTATCAGATTGGCCGAACAAATAAATGCTGAATACTGGATACTCTCTGCATTGACAGGTTGGTAAAAATACTTCTTCCCGTGAAAAGATGTTATCCCCCCCCCAAAAAAAAGTCCCTTTGGTATAACCCCTTTAACACTATAGCCCTTGGGTTTCAACTGAGAATCATCCTGAATCCTTTAAAATCCACCACCATACAGTAATCAAAAGGTATAGTTGTTAAGCACCCTTCTTCAGAGTTTTAGCACTTTTGTTGCTAGCTTCAAACGAACTAGACTTGGTCAAGGCGCTAGTTATTATTCATCCCGGCCGTAGCGCGGTAAACGATATCTTCGCTAGCACTATGCATGCGGTGCATTAAAAATACAGCGCAAACAGTGACCTCACGCGGCCACCATTTCTATGCAAATCAGCTGGACCCAATCTAGCGCCTTGGTTCAATCGTCGGCAAAAGCTTATGTTTCTCTTTATTTTGCGCTGGGTTTCTAGCGCACGACCTCGTATGCGAATACAGATAAGTGTAGGCGGGCTAATATGTGGAGTGTCCAATCACACCTTGGTAAATCCGGACGTCATCAAATTATTTGCAGCTATTCGCCTTTTGCGGACGTGACAGGAACCACAGCTTTTGTGTATTGGTGCCGTGTGCAGAGACACACAACGTGTACGTGTATGGATTATGTACGGTCGCCACGGTGCGGTGCCACGTTTCACTATGGGCAATTCCACACCAAAGTGGACATGACACCAAAAATTTCAAATACATGTGACTTAAACAAATTTGGCATCAAATGAAAGCTAAAAGTCTATATTTTCAAGATTTGAAGTCGGAATTTTATTTTTTATACATTTCGGTACCAAAAAATAGGATTATGTAATAATCCTGTTAAATAATCCTAAAAATGTGATTAATAGTGATATGAAAGTATTCTACCAATACACACACAAAAATATGTACTAATGCCATCAGTTTCTGTCATGAGAAAGTATTGGTCTTGAAAAAACGACTAAAATTTGTTTTTAGCATTTTGCGTAATTTGTTTCGCTTCAGTGACTTCTAATATTTCAGCCTTCGAAAATGTCCTTCCGTTACCGAAAAAATACATATTTTTAATTTATTTTTAAAACTTGCAGTATGAATGCATTGAAAGTTATTGTGCAAAGCAAGTTTAGGTAGGCCTTCAATATGACATTATAACTGACACTGCTGTACTTCTCGTTTTTTTATTACAATTAATTAAATCACGTCCTTCCGTTACCAAATTGGTAACGGAAGGACGGTAACGGAAGGACAAATCATATTTTTATCAAATGTTACGACATTTGCGCTCATGTTTGAAAAATGAAAATCACTGCAAATACATGCATGTATAATGAGCATTGAAAGGACATTCATGTGACCCACCTTCACAAAAGCGGGATAAGCAGGGCAAGGTGTTTATTACAAAGGAAGGCACAGGCATGTACAACATGTACAATGTACATGTCCATATATGCCGATGTACCAGTACTTGTACATGTATGGAGTTGTTGCAGAAAATCAAATCATAAAGTTGCTGCCATCAGCATTCATGGACAATAGAGAAAGATACGAATTCTGTGAAGCCATTCCAGAAGCAAATTAAGTCAAAAATGAGATGGCAGAAAGTACCGGTACTTTGGGGCACTTTCATTCAATTTACATGTGTAAGACATGTGAGGTGCAATCTTTGACAAATTATGCCCAAGTTAACAATTTCAGTTTGGATGTTTATAAATTAATTGTTACTACTCTAAGTCATTGTAATTTGATTTCAAACATTGATTTTAGAGTTCAATTAAAAGCAACACCTAACTGAAGCCATCAATTCTACCGGTAGATGTTTTTACCTTAAATGTACATGTAGGCTGGTCGCCCCCCCCCCCCTTTAGGTAAACCACTGAACCTACCGGTATTATTATTAAAAGTTGTTGGTGAACATGTAACCAATATACTCAAGTGCTCAAATACTGTGTATTTAAACTTTTAAGGATGAGGTGATGGGTTTGAAGTCCATTTCTGTAGTTGTCTTGTGTTCGTGAATTATGTGTTTTGGGTTGTTTTCGTTTTCTTTTGTTATCATTAATTAGCAGGCTTCTATCTTTATCTCAATAGTTTCTTGGGTATAATTATTTATGCCAGGTCTGCATATTGTTGATTTCACATTCAGTTACACATTTTAGCAATTTGTTTCACTTGTATAATTAGTGTAAATTCACATTTTGTTCATGCTATAATTGAGTAAACCTTTTGTCCTTCCGTTACCGTCCTTCCGTTACCAAATTATAATCTGCTTAAAACGTTGTAATTATATTACCGAAACACTTAAAGTCAAATGAAAGGCGGTATAGTATAGATAAAGCTCCAGGGATTCCATTTTCTACCTTTAAAATATAATTGCCCCATAAATTTCACAGAGTTTACGCAAAACGCGAGTAAGTTGGAAAACCCTTGTCCGTTTTACCGTCCTTCCGTTACCGACCTCATTAATATTCATAATTCATAAACGGGAGGCATTCATGCCCCCCAAAAGTGTGGAAAATGAAAGTAGCATTATAGCAATACAAATGTGACATTTGTTTGCTGTAACTATGAACAGTGTCTGTGATACACACATTTGAAATTTTGTTTAATGAGTGGAAACGTCCTTCCGTTACCGTGGAATTGCCCCTATGCAAGTTTCCACGCAACGATCGACCAATAAGAAAACGACATTTAAGGTCAGCTAAGGCTATTAACGTAATGAGCACCACACCCAAAACCTCACATGGACGATTGAACCAAGGCGCTAGATTGAGACCAACTGATTTGCATATAAATAGTAGCCGCGTGAGGTCGCTGTTCGCGCTGTATTTTTAATGCACTGCATGCATAGACGTACAGGTATCACAAGTCCAAAGTTCCCCCCAACATTATTCTTAATTAATGACATAGAAATGCACGATTTCAACAATATCTCAAATGCAAATGACAGAAGGCACTCTTCTACCCATCTTGTGAGAAAATGATAGAAATCCAATCACGCATACCAACACGAAGCTCATTTGAATGAAAAAAGTGCCAATAAAAAAAGTTGCAGTAAATAGCATTGCTCCAATGTACTGGTTTGAGTGATCCTGCAAGGCAGGGTAGACTTTCAGTAATTAATAACTTTACCTTACAAAATTGTTTTTGTTTAAAAGGATGTTTAACTAAAATAAGACACAATCTTGGTAATCTAACAGATAATTATAGACCTTTTAATGCAAAGATGACAAAGAAAATGCAAATTAAATGTAACATTTTTGAAATTGGTTTTCTTGTTCTTCCTCTTTCAAGTAGAGACTCCTGTTTTTACATGGGAAATTTCAAAAACGTTACATTTAATTTGCATTTTCTTTGTCATCTTTGCATTAAAAGGTCTGCAATTATCTGTTAGATTTTTAAGATTGCGTCTTGTTTTAGTTTAACATCCTTTTAAACAAGGAAACTTTTGTAAGGTAAAGTTATTAATTAATTAAAGTCTACCCTGCCTTGCAGGATCACTCAAACCGGTACATTGGAGCAATGCTATTTACTGCAACTTTTTTATTTGCACTTTTTTTCATTCAAATGAGCTTCGTGTTGGTATGCGTGATTGGATTTCTATCATTTTCTCACAAGATGGGCAGAAGAGTGTCCTCTGTCATTTGCATTTACAAATGTAGGATATTGTTGAAACCGTGCATTTCTATTTCATTAATTAAGAACAATGTTTCATTCTACTTCATTCACTTACCCAAATAGCTACTACATATGCATATTTATTCAGCCGACAGGCTCAAACGCTAAAAGTTTTAATCAACCACCGAGCGCCCTCTCGGGGCCTACCCAATATGCTATGTCATGAATCCGCCATTATACTTCCTCTTATTTCTTAGCGACGGCATCGTGCAGAAGCAAATATTTTTGCTCTCGCCTTTTGACGAGTTTTTGTACGATTTTCGCTTTAAGAGTTTCTGTTTTATAGAATTTATCAACCAAGTGAGTTGTGTAGAATCTGTAGAGTTTGGTTTGAGTTAAGTAGTTCTCATTTGGAGTGATTCTGGAGTCATTTTGCTTTCGTTTTTCTTGCACGTAGCGTAGCAGGTTTTTCAGCCTTTGTCTGACACCACGTGCGGCGGGCCAGGTCAGCACCGCGGGACTAGCCCAGTGCCGGGTAGGCATCATGGGTTCTCCCTTTGGGATCAAGTGCAATCCCCTTTTAGCCGAGTCGGCTTTCCTGAGTTATTATTATTATTTCTGTTGTACAGTTATCTAATAATAATATTTCTTTGTCAAAAAAAAAAAAATTAAAAAAATAAAAATAGCAGTGCATTTAGTTTATGACTCCATAGAAATCTGTAAAGACCTTTAGGGGAGACAGTGCGTCGTATATCCCCGGAGAGAAAGTGCGGTTATTCTATACAAGGTCTGATAGTCGCCCCACACGTGGGACCCCTGTTCCGGAAGTCAGACTTTCGGCCGTTCAGGGGACTAGCGAAACATTTAGAAGAATACAGCGGTTTCGGCCGTTCCCTGTTCTCCGTTCGTTTCCCCTAAGCTCGCGGTGAGCTAGGGCCTTGCGAGACGAGTACAGTGGGGGTATATCGACAGAGGTCGTTCCCTTCCCCCCTGACTGTTTCAGCTAGCTCAGGGAGCTAGTAAGCTAGAAGAGGACGTTTCGTCGGGTATATCGTCAGAGGTCGTTCCCTGCCCCTCGGCCGTCCTAAGCTATCTCGATAGTGCGACGACAAACGAGATAGCGGCGAGATATTCGGGGGTATATCGGCCGCTGGCCGTTCCCTTCCCTCGGCCGCCTCGCCTGGTGTGTAAAGAAATATTCTGTGGGAAACAACGACCAGCGGTCGTTCCCTTCCCCCCGGCCGTTCTCAACTGCATTAATCCTAGTAGTACAATAGTACGAAAAAACGAGATAGCAGTGAGTCCCCACGCAGGGACATCGTCGTAGTCTGTAACGGTCATCCCGTGTTTACGCGTTTTGACCGGCTTCAAACATACGTCCTACGGTATGGAACACC